GAATGTTATTTGTAAATAATAGGAAAAAATATTCGAAATGTAATGTTACACGTCGAGACAAACTTATTGAGACATATGTAATGATAATGTTATCATTATTTCCAATCAAAAATATGTAGCAGAAAAGATTAATGAAAAGATTAATAGCGAACACTGAGAAATGAATATTTCGCCTGAAAGTTTCTGAAATTTATTGTTTTTTAAGAATGAAAAATTTTGATTGTCACTGGTTGTGCTTTGCAAGTTTATCAAAATAAGTTAATAAATCTCATTCACTGACATAAAAATTTTTCAAATTTTTTATTAAACCAATAAAATTTGAAATTTTCAAATGACTAATGAAGAATTATGTTGAATTTATTACATGTGGTAGTAGTGGATAGTGATTTAGATTAAGCAATAAGACACAAGAGATCTCTCGGATTTTTTCCTCTGGAAGGAGTAAAGGAGAACTGTGAAATGGTGGTGGTGGTTGTGGCTACCCATCTGTTTTTCAGCTAAGTAATTCCCTTGCAAAAATCCAACGAAATTAGCCTAATCAAAAAATGCGACTCCTTGTTCTGCCTTTTTAAAAGCATTCATGGAGGAGCCTTTCCCATCTAACTAATATCCGAATAAAGAATGACCGTTTCAATTAAATTTGCCCTTCTTCTATCCACTGCTAATTAAGATAGTTCCATCTGTTGCAAGACGTTTCGAAGTTTGAAACAATTTTTAATTATGAATTACATAAATTTAATATATTAAAAATGAAATCAAATGCTTCCTCAAAATTTTCCGATTAATTCCAACCGTTTCCCTTCGCGAATTTATATTCTTCAAATTTATATTTAGAAAATTCACTAGTTGTGCAAACCAATCATTCCAGATAACCTCCTCCGTGAGCATTCACTATTTCTTTGATTAATCCCACTGGCCAATAAAGCGAAATCCCTCCGGTAGAGAATATCCGAACTAACCTTACGGTCTTATGAATTCATGAAAAACCACATAAATGCTTTGATAAATTTTTTTAAATACTTCTTTAAAATTTTATCAGTTTTATGAAATTGAATTTCTATAATTTTCGTTGAAATTATTTAAGGCGACAACGATTCACAAGGTAAGAATTAAAATTGATGTTTAAATTCCACAAATATACAGTGCAGTATATGAAATGTAGGTTTTTTTGTCGCCAAAAAGGAACAAATTTCACCTTGAAATTTCCTATTCAATTATTTTTATCCGCCAACAAAACGAAAATAATAGAAGTTGAAAACAAACGGAAGATAATTTGTCATTTAGATAGGACACAGCAACCGATCATCATTTTTATCAGACGACTTCAAATAATATTCGAAGCAGCAGTAAAGTAAAAATATGTATTAGTAAATAGCGGAGAAAACAATTTTTTTATGCCTAGAAAATAGGTTTTTTGACATAATAGAATAGAAAATCCTGATAGTGTTGAATTTTTAAACGTTACGCTAACTCATTTATCATAAATTGCTGTTGACTCAGGTTCTATCTTTATTGTTAAAGTAAAGTAGCAATTTTAAACAAACAAGAAAAGGAAGCTGGATACTAAGGAGTTTTATAAGTGCATTTATACTTTCAGTCTTATTTCGTTCTGGCTAAGCTTTTGGCCAAGACTTAGGATTAAATCAAGAAGTAGTCCTAGGCATAGGCCAATTATTTCGAGGCTTGGCCAAGGATTTGCCCTGGCCTTTTTCCTTTTGTATGGAGGATCCTATCGTCAATGCACTTATGTCTTAATAGCTAGTGATAAACATAGACAGCAATTGGTCAGTGATATCAAATGTTAATGGTCAGGTGCTGTTAGAAGACGAAGATTTAAGATCTTTGAGAACAAAAAATTCCTCTGACCTTGATATTTTTCTAGACGCTCTTGAAATTTAAAATATCTTTGTTATCAAAAGATGATGACTGTCTGCTCATTTATAGAAAGTTTTTTACAGTTAAAATCATCTATTAAATTTCTTTTCCACCTAAAAATCTAATAAATTACTTATTGTTTAGATTATATTAATAGAACGAATTCTAAAAAACTATTATTAAAAAATCCGACCTATCCATATTTCTAAAAAAACTTTCTCATCGTACTGGCAGCTAGTGGAACCAGAAAGGGTGAGCACTGACCGTTTATTTTGCTTTTATTCGTTATAATGCATTTTATAAAATAATAAAATAATGTTTTTTTTTTGCTAATTCTGATGAGTTTTATTTATGATAATGAAATTACTAAATATTACTAAATATCAATTTAATTTAAACAATAGCGTTTAAAATTTTATAATGGAGGAAAAATTAAGAATATCATCAATAACATATAAATTATTTTAAAGAATGTTATTATATATTGCAATAGGCGTTTTTTAAACGTCCTTCAACAAAAAGGACATTGAATACCGACCGACTGTTTTCATTTCATCTCAGACATCAAAAAACATGAGAAGAAAAAAAGGGAAATTGTTGAAAAATAAATCTTTTTCGGTTTTTTTTCCAATTTCAGGTTATGAAGATCGATGTAGGAAAAGGTGAGGGAGGGGGGGTTAACAAGAAGAGAACGACGAAAAGAGCCAAATTAGAAAAGGAAATTTTTTTCCTTGTTAAAAATTCGACACCTGATGTATATGCATGTTTCTTTCGCTATAAAAGATAGAAATTTTCTTATTTTACGATAGTTTTTCACGGAGATCGTTGGAAATTTCTTGATTTCTTATTTCTAATGATAAATAGTGAAGCCTAAGATTGGCCATTTAAAAAAGAGTAAGGATACCATCTCACCTCATTTGAAGTAAAGGAGACAACTTTATCTCCATTCTTAATTAAATCTTTGATGAGATAGCGAGTAATAAACAAATCATAAAGCCTACCTGGTTTCTGATAGAGCAGCCAGCCTAATCAAAAATGATTATCACTCAACAACTTTAATCAAATCGCTAAATTATGTCAATTATTACAACTACGATCAATAATTTACAGATTAGTTGGCATTTCAACTGGAAAGAAAGCCAAATTAATTTAAGCCAAGTTAATTATTAAGATTTAAGCTAAATTTTAAAAAAATTTTTAATTTCTAGTTGAAATTTGAAATTAACCAGACAAAGATTTTGAGAAATATAGCATCATGACATATTCTGTCTCGTATTCCCGATTTCTCATGCCGATTTTTAATCATCTTTTGATTAAAATCAATTTATCAATCATTGAAAATGTCGTTGCCAGTAATAAAGGAATGAAACGGTGGATTTTATTTTGTTATAAAAAATCTGGTAAGTTATAAGTAAAGTCAAATGGATCGGAAAAAGGCAAAAACCAGCGGCAAAAAGAAATGCAGCGGATAATTCGTCAGTAAAATCGTCGATGGCTTTATTTGTCGAAGAGAAGGGATATTCTTCTCGTTGTATACAGTCTGTGAATTTTAGGATAACACTGAATTCTTATTCGGAACCATTTGATTTCGCAAAATTTGGCATTTTTTTTCAATAGAGATGCTTAAATATGATAACCGTATTAATGACTGTTATTTAACTGTTATTTTCGAATTATTTTCCTCTTTTCTATTTATTTATTTGATATTCGTGAAAACCTTATTCAAAGAAGGTTCCATAGGCTTCAAGAAAGAGTTCATAGGCTTTCATCAGATCGCTTAATTATCCATGGCACAAAAAAAGAGCAATTATCATAGAATTTTATTCTCTTTAAAAAATATTCGATATTGTGCCAGTTTTTTTTACAAAAATTTATTATCAAATTGAGATATATTATCCAGTTTTAAAAGTAATCAAAACAGGTTTCACATTTTCAAATGAACGTTTTCGAAATTTTTTAAGATTTTCCACTAAATTTTAATTTCCCAGTCAAACCGCTAGCGAAAACCTAAATTTCAATTTAAAAAATTCTTCAATTTATTTCCTCGTTTCTTGAGAAATTTCTCATTTTCGCGATGAGGTCGAAGTGAAAGATAATGAAATTGCAAAAATTCGAATTTTTTAAGCATTAAACAAACGTTTGTTAGAATTTCTTATAAAAATTTGCACCATAACGCGAATTTTAAAAATTTTTTTTCGACTTCCAAATGATTTTCGCACTGATTTTGATGTTTGCTACCAATGGTGCCAACACTCTAATCAGTAGTGTAATTCTTTATGGCAAAAAGTGAACTTGGATGAGATTATAATTTTTAGCCTTTCGCATAGAATTGCAATTTCTAAGCAAATATTTTTGCGGCATTTTTTATTTGTTTTATTATTTATTTAGCTAAATTAGCTTATTATTTATTTAATTGTGAAAAAGAGATTTTAAAACGACCGAGAGAAATGTTATTCATTCGTCCCGGTTGTTGATTTGTCTAAAAATTTTTTCTCGTTGGTCAAGCTCAATTTTGCGCAGCGATTTATCCATCCATCACAATGTCTATGATGTGGGTGGCCAGCAATTGATCATGCTTTCAGCAATTTTCAATTAATTTCGGAATTTTTTCTTGTTTTCTTACTGCCACTGGCAAAGCTTCTTCAGATGTTCTTCAGCTACAAATAGCGATAATTTGAAAAATGAAATTTAAAAAATTTCCCAACTGATAAGAAGTAATTAATTGTTTGTGAAATATAATGAGTAATGAATGCCTTTTTTTTATCGTAAGAAATAAAAATTCGAGAAGAAATCCCTTCTTGTATTTGGCTCAAATATTAAATATAAAACTTATATATTTAAGTCAAGCTTAAGCATAATTTGATGCATGGTTAAGGCATAGATTTAAAATATTTCAGGTACAAAATGACCATATATCAAGCCAAGAAAATTCTCAAAAATACTTAATCGCTATTTATCAATTTATCAGTTTATCAAAACTTTACTCGATTCGTATCCGACAAAGCCGTTGTTTAAGAAAATTAATAAAACGCTCGCATAATTTTAGCAGTTCTGCATTTTTAAAATGCCTTCTTTAAAGAGAATCAACATTTCTGAATTTTCAGGATTTTAGAAAAGTGTTATCGATGAATTCATCTCAGATATATTTCCTATTGTTATTCTTTATCGTATTCTGCGAGTTATCAGCAAAATCGATTAATAAAGAAATTTTTTCTTCAAGCGAAATTGCTACACCTGATTTAATCGACAGTTTCATTGCCCGAACAAAAGCCGCCGGAACGAATCATCACCATCGAACTCATAGGTAACATATTTATTTCATCGACGAGCGATCAACTTAAGCTAATTTTCGTCACCTGCCGCCATTCATCATGGACGCTATTCTCTTCTCTTGGTGAGGCCTGTCATTTAAAATGAATCTGAATGGCAATGCGGATGGATTCACCTCTGCCTCTATCCACAACCTCTCTGAAGGATATGCCATTCGCGAAAGGCTAGTGAAAGGCCATGTAATGATGATGATGAAAGATAGAAAAGAGCAGTAAGAATTTACTCGTAATGTTTAAAATTTAGACGGCATAGGGCGATGTTCAAAAGAAATGGATCGGTTGGTATCGATGAAAATGGACGAGAATATATTAACTGTCGCAAAAGTATCAACAAGAATTATGCTATCGTATGTCGTTTAGTTTAGCCGATAAAATCTATATTATAATATTTCGGTTAATTAATGCCAAAATACGATATCTTTTTTAACGATAAATAATGAATCGCATTTTTCTAGACGAAACGATGCTACCGACCAACGAATTCGAATGATATGGAACTGGGATGTTACGCTGTTTGGGATGAAAAGAACGCTATCCTGCAGCAAGACTGCTGGATCCAGCAAACAGTTAAAAGCCACTTCTCTATTTTTTATTAAAATTTATTCAATCATTTTAAAGATTTTTTAGAGAATTAAAAAAACTTATTAATTTAGATTTCAATGAGTAATTGTGGCGTTGGTAAATGTACGGCGAAAAAGAGTAGTTTCTGTTGTTGTTTCGGACATAATTGCAACGATCGAATCGAATTATCGAATAGATCACTCGACAACTTATAATTGAAGCAAAAAAAGGCATTAAGCAAAATTTTAAAAAATGGCGAAACGGACTTATTTATGAGCTTTGACGTAAGGCCAAATTGACCAGAAAAATGGCGAGAAGAGTTAGAAATAATTTTTGAAATGGATTTATTATTATTCGTGCTTGCAATTTCTTAACAGTTGCTTGCTTTAGGTGCAAAATTAGTCGGCTAGTATCGTTGATTAGATTGTTTTTTTGATAAAACTATGGATAGTCTTTTCATGGATTGTAATATCCCTTTTGTATATTGTCAATAATCCAATATGTATCATACAATCCGTAACAATACCTCATAAATAAAATGAGCTTGTAAATGAAAAATGTATGAAACGAGACGATTTGATGACTAAACCGGCTAAACCAAGGGAAAATAATACAAATCATATAGAAGCTAAACTAATGAACATATTTAAGCGACGATAATTTTATCGGAAATTTTGAGATTTTTTTGAACAAACATACATTTTTCACATGGCCATCATCGTTAATCGCCCATAATAACCAATCGTTATCGGTCAAATCCAAACATAGCTAAATCTAGCAAATAATTCTCATCGTCACTGAATGTGGCAATCAATCCGTCAACTAAAGGATTTCACTGAAGTATTTCAGAGCCTTTTCCAGAAAATCAACTAAATCGTGGTTTATTTATTCCATTTGCTTTGGTTCACTTATCAATTAAGTTCCGTTATTTGGTAATAAATCCTATTTAATTGCAATCACTATTCTTTGGATTCCATATATCTCAACTTCGATAATCGTGCAATTGTATTAATTCCGTATCAATGAATTAATTGATTAATTTAATATCGTTGTTTTTTTTCTTTTTTGTAAACTTTTATACATTTTCTATTTGAAATAATCATTAATCATTATTTCTCGTTTATTTCATGAATTGCTATAAATTTGCTGAATAGTCATTAAACGTCATTTAAAGTTTATTTGCAAGTTACTTTTGTTTCAACAATTTGTTTAAACAAATTTACTTTTGTTTTTAATAAATTAAATATATAATATTTATAAATGTAAAAGTATTTATAATTTATAAAGCTTTTTTTATTCAGAAATTTGCAATATTCTTAAAAAATATTCTTATAATTTGGAAAGAAAATATGAAAAAAATGATATAAATCTAGCGAAAAATGAGAACTGAAATATAAAAATTTAGAAGATCGAATATTTTCTAAAAAATCAAAAAATAATATTTCTAAAAGATTCTTCTAAAAGATTGAGAACGATCGAAAAAAAAATCCCAATAAAACAAAATCTATAAAAATAAATAATAATACATCACAAGATATAAAAAACGAATGAATAAATATATTAAACTTTAGGCCTTGATTCGATCTGAATCCGTGCAATTTCCGATAATCTTTGTTGTATTTGAGAAATAAGTTCTTCCCCTTCAGCTACTGAACTTTCTAATTCACGCGCAGCCTGAAATTCAAATTTTTATCAACATAACAATGAATAATGAAAATTTTTCAATAACGAAAGGAGAATGTTTTCTAAGAGAATATTCATATATAAAAACATTTGCGAAAATTTTTTAAAACTGCATACTCATAATAGTAAAAAAATAAATTTTAATTATCTTTTTCAAAAAAATTTTTTCATGATTTGTATTTTATGGCTTTTTTTGTTTTTAAATAAAATAGAAATGGAAAACACAAAGAATTAATCTGGTAACTTCTAACCGTTCACCAAACATTTTTAAGCTTTTTCTTCATTTTTATTAAATTTTCAGTTAAACTTCAATACTTACTCAGTCGCCATTACATATGATAGAAATTTTGCAATATTTCTCTGCTGAAATTAAAAATTAAACTGACGTACTCGATTCCTTTGTTCATCGATGCGTGCAAATTCAGCCTCAGCTTCTGCATTATTTGTCGATGGTTCATCAATCGGCAAAGAATCAATTAGAATTTCGATATCTTTTGCTGTATGAGCGATGTTCATCGCAAAAATATTGCAATTTTCATCGTTTTCCAGTTGCTGCAAACAGAAATTTAACTTAATAAGCATTCTTTTCAAAAAATGAAAAAAATTTTATAGCCAATTAATCGACTTAAATTTCAATAAATATTTAAAACTAGCAAATTAATAAGAGATTAAGAAAATTAACTCATATCCAAATCAATTTATGAGAATTTAAATTCGTTTCGTTTCTATTTATAATTATTTTAAATGGCAGTCGCTAATGCCAAACAAAAACCAACTTTTGTTATACTCAAATGGATGAATTAGCATTACCATAAGTAAAAAATTTAATTTTCGGAAAAAATATGAATGATCTCATTTCAAATGTGTAATATATTATAATAAATATATTCAAATGTGATTCATATAAGTGATTGCAGCCAAATAGATAAACGACTATTAGTAACGATTATCAAAGCCTAGATTAGCCATTAGTGATGTGTGGACTGATGGCGTATGGTTAGATGAAGATGGGACCTTTTTATTGACGTTATAAGTTTTATAATTTATTATTAAATATTTCCTTAGTTTAATTGTCAAGAAATTGTCCGAGGTTGTGATAATTGCCATTAATAAATATACTACTTTTTGTGCAAAAGTAGCAACACGAAGCGATGAAATCCCGTATGGCAGCGAGCTAGCGAATTAAGACTAAAAATATTACCAAAACTTAACTTATTTTTAAAAAAATGAACAAAATTAACTTTTGATGTCGTATTAAAATCGCATGGAGGGGCAACAAGTTGTAAAACACCAATAGAATTGCACATAAGATTGGCTAAATCATTCACTAAATCTTGCAACTGAGTTAAACGGTCTGCCATAATTACCTGAAAATATTTTACCACTGTATTTCGCCAGAAGTCATAAGATTCGTTTATTGTCTCATTCAACCGTTAAACTATTTATTAAATTAAATTAAAATTATTTAATACAAAAGAGTGAAAAGCTCGCCCTGTGAACGGGTTGTATTCCTAAACTTTATTATCTCCTTTAACCAAGAAATTCACTACGCTCGCAAAGTACTCCTCCAAATTTTTATATTACGCACTGTACCGCGTCAATCCCGACAATGCCTCGATTTTATTTTTTTGCAAATTTATCCTCTACATATTCTAAGTGCAAGAGTAATAACAGCGCATGATTTGAATGAGCATTAAGAGGAAAAAACAGCATTGGGTGAAGAGTTTGGTGGAGTTAAAATAAGGTCGGATACACGTTTATGGGATATTCAAATTATATAGATATACTGGTTCATAGCCACACATCTGTTACTTCTTGGGAAGGGAAATATAGAGCCTAAAAGTTATATAAACCTGTCTTTGCCCAAAGAAGCGAGCCAATCCCAGAAAAAGCAAACGCTATTAGAAGCGTAAACCCTATAATTAAATGCAATAAAGCAATAAAGAAAAATGGATTTAATACCTCTCCATTTTTTAAAAAAAAATTTTAATTTTTATTGTATTAATGATTGAAATATAAAACGACCGATATTATATCATATCATGAAATTATCACAAACAATAATAGAAAAATTAATTTTTAAAAGAAATATAGAGCCTAAGAAAGAATTTTAAAAGAAAATTTTTTCTTACTTCTTGAGAATGTATTTAAGCCTTAACAATCTTATAATAATCCTATTGATGTTACTGGGAAAAATAAAAATAATTGAGAAAAAAGAATAATTTACATAAATAATGATCCGAGCAAATCCATCAACACTATCACCATTACTATCATTATTATCATCATTTTTGCTTTTTTATCTTTGCTTTGTTTCTATAACAGTGATCGTTCGAAAATGAGCAATAAATGTGGAAAAATTTGAATAAAGCAGGCCAATGTTTACCATAATAAATAATAAATACTATCGTATATTTTTAATATTTATATTTAGTCGAATAATCTTTTGGAGATATTACGAGACCACGTCCTTTTCTAGCACCACGATAAACAGTTTCTAGAATATCAATCAGCTCCTGTCCATCAGTAATTGGCCAATTTATCTTATTATTATTGCCGGTACCTGAATAATTAATAATTAAAATAATCGTATAAAAGAATTTTCAAGTCAGTATTTAAATTTTTAAGAAAGGAAATAAAACAAAAAAAAGCCAATTTGATTAGTATTTATAAATTAACCTAAATCGACCATAATATGTTTGTTTCGAAAGAAAAACATTACTGTACACGGATCGTACAGTTCATACATTTTATTGAAATCTGGAACCTCCGTTGTATCCACTAAATAAATTACGGCGAAATTTTTAACTTTATTGGCGATTTTGTACAATGTCTGAAACAAAACAAATAACAATAATAAATTAGTGGAGCTTACTATGTATAGGAATTTTTTGAAAATTTTAAATTTCTTATCGCTCTGTTGATATGTCAGACCGTACAAATTTTGGGATTGACACTTGGTGATAGAAGTATCACCTGACTGAAAATTTATCCTTCCGAAAGCTCCAGCAATCCCACAATATGTATTTGTATGTAAATTATAAGTTTAAATGTAAAATATAATAATAATAAAATATATTGTAAAGAAACTTTAAAAAAAAGTTAAATACAATTTATAAGAAAAATAAAATTGCCAAGATGAAAAAACCTCATCCATACGCATGCAACTGGGATCCCAATCATGACCAAATCGAATTAAAACAACTCGATCTTCTTCGGCAAGGATCGCCTGATCAACTTGCCATCCATTACTTAAATGCGGTAGCATGTACGACATTTTTGTAAAATTGTTACTGATTTATTCCACTGACACTAATATGTTTATACCTAAAAAATTCACAATTTTACACCAAAAAAATAAAATAAATAAAACTTAATATGCCATTAAAACACTAATAAATAGAAAATAAATAGAAAACACTACTTTTCTATTTATTTTTATGATTCTGGTGATTATGAAATTTGCCTCTCTTCTTTCGACAAGAGTAAGCCTAACAGAAAAATAAAATCCGAGTTGCTGCTGGGAATATTTAAGTCCCTAAGTGATTCTATAGGTGAAAGAATTTGGTTACAATGATATGAAGCCCTCGCACAATGACTCTAGTTTGGTAGTGCATGAGATAAGTATGCAGATCGGCATAGTGAAAAGATTCCTATGTGTGGGAAGAAAATGAGTTCTCGAGCCAAGATAACTGAGACCTGTTAATGAAAGCAAACAATTATCAGTTGGCTTTGTGAATGCATGCGCGTATGATCCTAGGCATCGGAAATCAGACGTCCACACTTTCTCCAAATGCCATGTGGATATCGCTTATTATTATGTATTGTTTTATGTATGAAAAAAATGTCTTTGTAAAATATTCGTCGGAAACATGTCTTCCATGCGCAACATAAATTTGATTTGATGTGCAGGTACCAGCACCACTGCGATGGATAATTCAGGACGAAAAAATAGCGCAATAAATATCTGGAAGAACTCAATCCACTCTTGACCGCGAAAAAACCAGTTAATGACCATATGACCTATGCCTAATTCAAAAGGACGCCTTCTCGCTTTGCTGAAGCATGGAATTTATGCAACTGCTTCCGGCATCGGAAAAAATATCCAGTGATATGAGAACTCTCCGGATAACCGATATTCCAACCAATTACTGTATCTTGGTCAATCATCGGTGAAAGAGTTCCGTAACATACCGCTATAAGATAATATACCACTCATGTAAACACTTTGCGCATAATCTTTTAATATTATTCGAGCCAAAATCTGCATGAAGCTACAACGGAAGATTCCCCTAAATCTTTTATTTCAAGCTGAAAGATTTTGAGACTGAAAGCGCACTTCAGGTCGAATTATCGAAAGACCATAGAGATCTAAATGTCAACGACACCTCTGGAATGGCTGATGAACATTAGTACCAATGAAAGGCATATCTTTGAAAGCCAATTAAATGCGCGCCAAGATGTGTCACTTGAAAATGCTTTAGTTAAGTATCAGAGGCAAGGGCAACAATCGAAAAGGAATTTGAAGACGACGGCTCGTTAGGTAGAAGACTATTCTTCGAAAACTAGGAAACTGGTTAATGAATTGATCATGAATCATATGTCTTTTCGAGTTCTTAAGAAATAACATCTATGATTTAGAAGTTTAAAGTCAAGAAAACTCGAAGATGATCACTGAAACCATCAGGAATTGTCCAAGGTCGTTTACTGCCCATCTTCAATGAATGTACTCTTTGGTATGGAAAAAAGAATTAATTTCGGATGACTGCCACGAAATTTTTCTATTCCCAAGAAGAGTGATAAGCCTTACTGCGAGAACTATTGAGGAATTAGCCCTCTCGACATTTTCGCCTTCTTTCTGGCAAAAAGACTTATGGCAACACGAGGCAGCAGGATGCACTCTAGGTAAACTGGATTCTGATTGCCATAGCTTGCTAACACGATAGAAGTGCATGTGCCCTCGTTCAAATACCACCTTCATTGATAAAATCACGCTAAACAGCGTCGAATAAGCAGTGTTCTTTGCCAGCCATCGCTAATTGCTAAGCAAACGACCACTTACTTTACTTTAGTACACGACGGCCATCCAAAAAGGACCGTTGTATAGCCTATTAATAGGAAAGATACTAGAAATATTTGCAAAAAAAGGCAAACACTTGAGAACACTTATTGTTTTGTGAACCGATAACGATTAAAACGACATTCTTTTATTTTCATTGGAATACTATTTTCAGTTTTTCCCACATTTCGACAATGTTAACAACTAACAATTCTCTGTTAGTAAGCATTCCATGCAGGTGAAAATTCCCCGCTCAGCTGGGAATACACATAAACGATGGTCCAACATGCACCATTTGGGCAATAATTACATGGGTTAGCAGCTATTTAAAACGGTATTCTATCACCCTTGGTACCTTTCAACAAAGAAAAAAACAGCCTCAAATAAATCGTAACCTGAATTAGGAGAGTGTGGTGATCCAGCCAAAACTCACAAAACTGAATTTCGCTAAATAAGCTGCAAAGTAGATTTTAAACTGCGAATTAGTCAATTGCGAAACAACTAATGCTCAGCCGACTTCATTGTTTATATTATTGAGTGGTACGATTGTAATTTAGTGATGACTACTGACGTGGTGAAGGTAGGCGTGTGGTGATCCAGTGGGGAATGCAGATCAGCTGATCGAGGCTTTTAATGATAGTTAGTTAGTGTTAACAGGAAGGGTCATAGCTGTCATTATCTGTCGTTTATAGGGCATTGAGAAATATGCAAAATGCTTGATAAGAAACCCTGGCGTCCCCGTCGAAGATCGATCACGGCCTGCTACGTGTTTCTTAACACTGCCTGGTTTCTCTTTTAGTGGCATACTTCCGTTGAGAATGATCAATCGAACTCGTTTTGCTTGACCTCTGATAGAGGAGACGTATCGGCTGAACGGTAACGATATTGGTCCTAGTGCCAAATTATTTATCATAAAGTTTTACAAATCCGCTCGGAATTGGTTTTTTTGATTACTGGAAGCCAGGTATTATTTTCAGGATCGTTTGTTGGGGAGTCAAGGGTCATGCGGGTTTATTCTCTATTATTTTAAATTCATTTGGCTCGGAAATTTCGAGAATGGGACACGATAATGAAGTCCGACAAAAGGTCGAGAAATATATGCGATTATTATCGAATCCAGCGAAGGTTTCTTAGTTTTATTCCCTTTTCATACATAGAATAATATATTTTTCAAAAATATCCTTAATTTCTTAAAATATATTTATTTTTATGCTTTGTTTCTCTTTTTTTTTCATTATTTTTTTTATTTTGAATTATTTATTTTATTTTATTTATTTATTATTATTATTATTTATTTTATTTTTAATTTTATTTTGAAAATTTTGAAATCTATCGAACAATTTTTTTTTTTGCAGATTGGATCAGCGTTAAGGCATTTAAATAATATTCATATGACATTAGAGTTATTATCGGAAACAGGAGTGGGAAAAGCTGTCAATCAGTTGAGAAATCATTGTGATCATGGTAATGATGCTTTACAACTGGTTGAAAAATGGAAGGAAATCGCTAGGAGTTACGGGCTACGTCAGCGAAGGTTAGCTGAGTATTAAAATGAATTTAGAGAATCTTCATGCATTTGCCCACTTCATGGTAGAGAAATAATAAACATGCAAGAAGAAGGAGCATAGGGATGTTTTTGAAAAAGCTATAGACTAGACGAAAAGAAGTAAATCATTTCAAAATAAATGAATAGATATGGAAAAGGTTGCAGAAATCCATATTCCATTAGATGATTTGGTAGAAAAAAAATGAATGATGCAGTGTGAAGAGAAAAAGGAAGGAAGGGAGTTCGAAAACGTGTTTTTACTTTGTTCTGCACGTAGCTGAAAGATATGCAATAAAAAAATTGACTTGAATATCGATGAAGTGAATTGTAAGTTTGGTCATCAACTGTATGGATTATTAATTTTGAGACTATATCAAAAATGAAAAGTGTGGGAAGTGTGTCAGCTGAGCCTCATCAGAAGGGAAATGTGGATATACTGCATATATTTATTATATATTATATGTGTACTATACAGGTATGTACGTATATAAGTTGCAGGAGACATTCTTCTTCTTCTAGCTCGAAAAATGAAGATAGTTCGCCAACAAGAAAGAAAGAAAAATGTGAGGTCGAGGGATCAAGTGTATCAAAAAAAGAAAAGTCAATAGATTGTAAAGTAAATGGTTCTTTTCTTTTTTTTTTCAGTTGAATAAAATCTGTTATCTGTTATCTTTAACTTAAAGCTTATGATAATAGATTTCTCTTTTTTGAAGTTTTTTTCAAAGATTGTATGAAATTTTTCGGAAGTTTAATTGCTAATTTTAAAACATTCAACTATGTTTTATTTTTTTAAATTAAATTAAATTTTAACTTCAGAAACCATCCTCAAAGCTTATGGATGAGCCCAGATGTAGCACAAGTTTTGCCGAAATGTTGGCAAGTGCAGACACGGCAAAGCCATGGAAGCCAAAAAAACATAAAACGAATCATAATCACTGGAAATGTTCAGAAATAGATATAAATTATAAACCATCCAGGCCAATTTGTTATGAACCATCTCCAGTTATCAGAGATCATCAAAATGGTTGGTCCACATTAATATGCATTTAATATTTATGAATTATTTAATATTTATAATGAATGACGAACGAAGAAAAACTATTATTTTACTTCAAATTTTTAAAATTATAAAAATTTTTTTCTCATTTATTTCCATTGATTAGACATGGATTCTCTTTATTAAAAAAGATATTAGTTGTATTTTACTTTTATAATTTTCTTTTGTGATTTATTCCGCTTTTTATGCGTAAAATTTATAGAAATTACAAAGGAATTTAAAGATTAAAAAATTGCCTAGTGGAAAAAAATTTTATCTATGCAATTAGAAGTAGAACAATTTTGTCATAACCGAACCAAATTACATAACTTTTTATTTGATAAAGAGCATATGGTGAAGAAGTATGGTTAAAGTAAAGCGATTTATTTCGATTTATGTTATTTTGTTGGTGATTTACTTGAAATTTAAGTAGTACTTCTTTCCTTTTTACGTTTCTGTTAGACTGGAAAAAATATATTACTGATTGTGGATACCTTTCTCTACAGTTATTTTTTTTTGTGATAAATAGTTTTATTTGTTTCAGCAGATTTGTATAAATTTAGATAAAATTTATAATTATAGTTTATACCTCGTAATTTCTTATTTTTATTCATTAATCTTTTTTTTTAGAAGGCAAATTGGATAGATCAGATAGGTATTATTATCTCAATACAATTTTTTTCTCCAACTTCTTTGAATATTTAATAATTTTGCAAGAATTAATTCAGTATATATTTTATTGAAGGCATTCTCCAAACATCAGAAGCTGATACATCAATGTTTAAACCACGAAAAGATAAACGTAAAATTTATGCCGGCCGTCGCAAAGGTGATATTGGGAAAGAAATACCATCTCTCCAAGAACTTTGTATTAGATTGCTTACTGCTAATATTAATGGTAAATTGAATTAGATTTTTCGATTCTTTAAATTTTTTTCTTGTTCACTTTATTCGCATTTTGCTCTTCTTTACAATTATTTCATAGGATAAATTCTAATCATAATTCTAATTCTAATTATTTTCTATTTAATTTCAGCGATTGAACAAGTTGGTGATGCGCCGTACTATTTACTGAAACCAATTCTTGAAAAATGTGATGCATATCAGCTTAGTGCAATCGAACGTCGGAATCCAGTTAATTCTTTACATTTATTTTTGAGATATTAAAAATACGGTTATTACCTTTTCTGAAAAAGAAATATACGTTTTTTTTTATCAACCGATTTAGAAATTCGAACCATTCTTATTAAAGTTCCATATTTAAACAAGAGCAACATTTGTCTTTAATAAAAGGATTAAGGCGAATTACTTAGTGGATTGTTGCTCTTATTTTGAGATTCTACTCTGAGCATGTTTTAGATTTGGAAAATTTTTCTAATTTTGCTTTTGAATTCAGCACCTTACCGATGACACTGACGAACTTTGGGAAAAAATTGTTAGACGAACGTATCCTAGATGTGAATTAGATGAGTATGAAAGTTGGCGCGATTGTTATGTGGTAAGGGTTTTTTCTTTTCTTTTAGGATTTTGATTTGTTTTCTATTATTTTTCGTTATTCTTTTTTCAATATTTTTTCTTTAAATTTTTTATGGTTATTTCTTTGAAGTCCGAGATTCAATAATTTTTAAGCGAATACGTGATGAGAATGATAAAAAGTTGAAAATTTTATCTACTCGTATAAACCAACACAACCGTGAGACAACAGCGCCAGTAAAAACAGCACTTCTGGCAGATGCGAAAGCTCCACGTGATGTTCGGAAGCGTCAAATTCGATATGGAACTGGTCATTCAACTTATGATCTACCTTGTGCTAGCGAAGTTTCGAAAGCAAGGAAAGCAATTTTCGAAAAAGGTAAAGGGGCGTCTATTTGCATTTGAGTTGGATAGGAGTTTTTTTGAATTTACATTTTAATAGAATAGATTAGTATTATTAATAGATAATAAATTTTACAAATGGTATATTTTATATGATTTCAGGCAATAAAGATTCTCTATCAAATTTGCCAGTATCTGTACGAAATACAAATTCCAGTCTTGGTGCTCATTCGACTAAAAAACCTGCTCAATCAAAAAAGGGTGCTTTGATGATTAAAACACTGAAAATGATGAAAAATAGTTTTAAACGATGAAAATCAAAGGAATCACTGAGTCATAAATTTTATTAACTATTTAACTAATTGTTAATAATATTTACAATGAGTTTTTTTCTAAGCTCACCATTTCTCGTTAGGTTTTTTCCGTTGTCTTGTGGCACCTAGCAAATTTTGCCAGAGAATCATTTGGCAACATCATTCGATGATGAGAAATTAAAAGAAATTAAAAGAAATTAAAAGTTTAAAATTTATATTTTCATTCAGGAATATTCGAAGCTTTCCATTTTTTTATCTTCCATTTATTTTTACTTGTTACTTTTTTTAATTTTTAACTTTACTTGTCGCTTGGGACATAAAAAAGTGCATATATTCTTATTAATTTGCGATAATCACTTGTTTTATTTATTTATAATCGCTTACTTTTGATATTTTGATAGTTTTGATTTATTTATTTGAACTTTTGAAGCTGTTTAACTGCTTATTTTCTTTATTTCATGTTTGTTCCGATTTCCCTGTATTTTTTTGGGAATTTACATTGTTATTTCTATTTTTTTTATTTTTATTTGCATTCAAACACCGATAGTTTTATAGTTTTTCTATCGAATTATATTGAGATTGTTTGAGATTGAAAAATCTGTGCAGATGCATCAAATTATAATTTGGCAATCCAAAAAAGATATTTTGATGTTTCTATTAAAATATGCTTCACCGCTGAATTTCTTGCCATAAATTTAGGATCGAATTGGCTGATGAATAGAAACATGATAAATGATTGATTTCAACTAGCAGTTTTTGTTAATATTTTTTTCGGTTTATATGTATGATAGGGTTTGTTTCGTTCTTTTTTGTCCTTCTCTGTGTTCTATTTTTGATATTATTGAACCAGTATGCTTTCAATTAATTACTTTATTATCATTGAATAAGTATGGACTTTTTATTATTTTTTTAATTTTTTATTTTTTAATTAGTCTTTTAATTTATTAAATTAAGTGTGACATTTATGGATTTTTTTTTTTGATTGTGACGAAATTTCCTTAAAAAAGCTTTTGCTATGTTTGAAGTGTATTTCACAACGTCTATAATTAAAAATTTCTGAATCTTTCATCAGTGCCATTTATTAACTGAGCAAACCAACATTAAATTTTCCGTATAACCTATGTTTGTATGAATAATAATGCGAACAGATAGCATATAATAAATGATTAGTGTTGCTTTGGCAATCAACGGAAGATGATGGGTAGAGGGGTGGCGGATAACGGGATGATGGACAGAAGGGTGGCGGACAACGGGATGATGGGCAGAAAAGTGGCGGATAACGGGATGATGGACAGAAAGGTGGCGGATAACGGAATGATGGACAGAAAGGTGGCGGATAACGGGATGATGGGGAGAGAGATGATCAAAGTTCTGCTTAAGTTCAGTGGTTTAAAAATTGCATTTTTGAAACGAAAAAAAAGATGGTGAAAGTGGTAGTTGCATTTTTCATATTGTGTGGTTTTTCTGGTTTTCTGTTTTTTGTGTTTTATTCGTTAAGACAGCCATTCATGAGCCATTAAATTACCATTGTTGTGTTCTAACGGTGCAACTATCCACGGTGTCGCTCTTTCGTTCAGTTCCCTATGTAGGCTCAGTCTTTTGCTACATAGGGGTCCATGAACTTGCAAGCCAAGAACCACAATGGAACGCACTTACGCGAGCATCTGATAAAATCGCATTTATAAGTGTTGTCAGAGGATGATAAAGGTTGATTGATGATAGTGTTAAGCGATTTGCAAGACAGTGTCCTATTTCCTTCATCAGAAAATTGATCCAACTCTAACTATATTGCTTCCTTCTCCGTTGCTTTACTGCTTATTGCAATTAAATTCTCTTTTTTCAATGAATATACATATCACAATCGAATCTGCTACATCATAAGTGGCCGATCTGAATTTTAGTGTGTTCTAATTCTGCCATCTCTCATTATTGATTTGTGTGGTCTTCTCAAATTTTTTTTTTTTTTTGAAGTGTTTTGTGGTGGACGATAAGTTGGGATGACCTCTGACCCATCGTTATGGGTGGGATGTTAGCTAAATTTGCCACTGACCATTCTTGCATAAAGTTTCATCGGAAGATTGTTGTTTTCTTAGTTCATTTGTAATTTAAGTGTAATTTATATTGGACCGTTCATCTTCGACATTTTCTATTTCTTTTTTACTTATTTTCTTTTAGGTTTTTTAAATTTTTACACAAATTTTTTTTTCTTTTCCTAAATTTACATATAAATTTTTATATAATTTATGTTTATATATAAAATAATTTTCTAAGAAAATTCTTTCAATTTTTCTTAAATAATTTAATTATTGTTTCGTTATTATTTCGTTTTCTTTCTTTTTCCTAATAATAGTTTTATTTTTTCTGCTTTCATTTGCTTTTAATTAATCAATCATCATTTGCATATTTTCAGGCGAATTATTTATATCTTTTATTTCATCGATTCAATAAATTTTTCGTTGATATTTTGGGTGGAAAATTTGGCAATTCGCTTACCATCAGTTGGAATTTTTTTCATTTTTAAAGAAAAATAAACAAATGAAATTTCTTAAATTTAAATTTAAATTCGTTTAAATCAATAATTACTTTTTTTTTGTCTCAGACAATTTTTCTTCGACAGTTCTTGACGTTTATTTTTTTATTTGAAGAAAAAATTAACGATTAAAAAAAATTGAATGAAAAATTAGGAACGAAAATGATTTCCGTTTTGTTCTGTTTTATTTAAGATTTTATTGGTATTAATTGCTGAATTGAATTAGAAAAATGGTAATGAGGAAGGTAGAAAATTGAATAAGTGATGTGAGAGAGGATTGGTGCAGATATGGTAAGTGCAGAGCCCGATGTAGTACCTTGGCAGGCTAGGCATATGTGCAGTTCGTCAAGTTGAAAAAAAAACATCAAATGCAAATGCATATGACAAATGTACTCTCCAGTGTGACTGTTTTAACTAAAATTAGGACAAAAAGGGGAATAATGACATTTCTATTTTTTCTTTGTGTTGTACGAAGTATTCAGTTGTTGATAGTGAAAAGCCACAAACGATGCAAAATAGCGCATTAATAAAAATTAATATGGTAATGATAAAAATAATTAAAAGTTAATAATTAATTCAGTCCATAATTTATTTATAGTTTATAGTTTAAATTATCAATTTAATTGATCAATAATTTTGATAGATTTTGAATTTTGATAATAATTAATATTTGATATTGTTTTTCCTCAGACAGTTCGCACCATTGCTAGTTTCACTGGCTATAAGGGCAAATCGTTTATAAATCGCTCGATATCATATCCGATATCAGAACTCACTCTTTTTTCCACTACCTAAAACCTTATGTTGCTGTACGTTCATTACTCAATATCTCTTCTGTAATCTAGGTTATTCCTTCTCGCTTTTCATGCCATCCATCAGCTTAACGATTAGCAAAATATGTTTTCTGTGACAGTGGACATGACGTAAGCGTAAGCAACATTCTTTGGCCATGTTAATGCAGGTAGTAAAGTGATGTGGAATTTTATCACGTCGATATCTAAAATCTGTCTTGGACATGAGTGGTCGAAGGAAAATTGCTTACTGATATCCACTCTCGTTGGCTATGTTCCACAGCCATATAGGTGGTATGGTCCGTAATTAATAGATTCAAATTTTTGTCTTCATACTATTCTTCATAAATGTTAGGGAAAAAGGTACTATTTCATCAGTGTGTTCGAAATACTATGTTCTGAGCTGTCTTGTACATCTCTTAAGTGGGAAACGGTGCTCCATAATCCAGTAAATCGCTTAGTTGAATATTGTAGGAGAAAATAGTGGTCCTGACGGTATCTGAAAACAGACACCGTAGGTGGAGAATAGGAATGATAGTGTTGTCTACTATACAATTGAATTTTATTTGTTTTTTGTCTCCTTGCTTTGAACGGGAAGTATGATAATAGGTTGCAAAATGGCGCATAATCTCAAACTTGGTTAAGTAAACAGTTAATATGCGACAAAAAATTTATATTTATATATATTTAAAAGAAACTTTATATTGTATAAATCTAAAAATAATAAAATAAAAATAACATTACATAAAAAATGGAATAAAGTTATAAAGCAAAATCATTATTATTATGCGAGATCTGAGCGGTCTGATTCCATATTCGTAAAATGAATAATAATGAATATTGTTGGGATGGCGGAAAGATGTGAATCGTTCGCCCATCCAAATAATTTCCAAATAATTTTGCAAGGATCGTGCGAATTCAAATAAAAATCGTGAAAATTCGCGAAAACAGCAGTTTTTATTTTGAAAGGATCAGTTCTTCATACAAAATGGTTTGACCATATTTACTCTGGTAAAGGGCCTTTGTGAGCGGAATGATCTCCAGAATTCCGTCGTCTCCAAAGCGTAATTTTATTAAAATTGAAGGACGAAATCAGTGAAATAAGTGGCGATGGTTTAGGAACCAGTTTTTTTTTTGAAGAACACTCACCCATTACTGGTTAGACTCGTTTCTATGGCTTGTCGCACTAGACAGTTATGCTAGGGAGTCCCTTTTCGATAGAAGTCGGCAAGTGTGTCGGCGGCTTCAACAGATTTTTGAGCAGGTTTACTTCTGCAGGGAGTAAAACCTAAGCGAAGTTTCGAATTAAGCAACTCATTGATTCATTCTGTTCTTGTTTTCCTCCATTAAGCGGCACTTCGACGAAGAGTGGTGCTCGGCGGTTCCACCTCAACTGTCTTAGAGGTATAATAATTAGCATTGAGATTTGTAGTTTTTATAATTCAATTTGAAAATACTGCTCTCAGGTACCTTGGCAGGCTCCATTTAAATTTTTTGTTAATTTTAATTGTTTATTTGTTTATTAATTTAAATTTATTAATTTTTTATTAATTAATTTAATCATTTTAGAAAATAAATAAAATAAACAATTAAACAGTAATTAAAGAATAAGAAGAATTATTTCTTAAAACATTTAAAATTTCGGAAAAAAGTTCAACATGCAAGTTCATGATCCATGTCCTACAGCAGTTCAATAATTTTAGGGAAAATTATTTTTTCCCATTAGCTTCATGCAAGTTCATGATCCATGAAAGTTGCCATTTTCAGCATAGAAATTACTATGCTCAATCTAAGTTCGTAATTCTTTTGACGATGATTGATCTAAATATAATAAATCTGATTAAAATGTTGGTTATATGGAGAGTATTCCATGTGACTAAATATATTTATTCCAGTTCGGGGAACATACATTTGGTAGCAAAAGTTTATAGTTTCTGGCATGTGAAAAAAGGTGTTCGTCTGAGACGCACCAGTCATTTGCGACGTTGCAGCATTGTGACGTACATTTCAGTTTTCTCCGCATTTGAGCATTTCACTTTTCAGGTGAGATTTTAGCAATTGAATATCCCCATAGAACATATCTTTTTTATGGTTATCTGCACACAACATAGAAGCGTGCGCACTGATGGTTAAGATATTGCAGAACTTCTTTTTCAATTGTTATGCGGTCATTGTCTGGTTTTCGCATAATTAAGGTTCATTCAAAATATGAAAGTTATGTTGTTATGCCATTTCATCGCACATCATCTCAACCACCACATAATAATCAGTACCTTAGTTCTAAACCAAGTATATTAATTCCATAAGAATGAAAAGGATGAACTTTCGACAAGAAGGCAATTACACGATATTTGGACGAAGTATTATCCTACTTTCTACTTGCCTTTATTGTCCTACTTCCGTAAGTCTTCATCACAATTACAACTGAGACCTTGCCAGACAGTGTTGTAAAAATTTATTTGCTCCCCTTAACCTTAATAAGCCAGTTACCCTCGTTTAAAAGCTCGTTATATTGTTAAATGTAGGAATTATTTACCATGCTCTCTTCATTTATCACAATGAGCATCAGCTGTCATGTATATCAGAGGATCACTTTATCAATAAAACTAGGCTTTTTTACCATAGTGCCACTTGGAGGGATATAAATGCAGACAATATTTGCCCAACAACCTGACTAATAACCTGACTTAGTCTTGTCAAAAAAAAGGAACAAACAAATTTACAACCACAAAGATTACGAAATTTAGGGCAGAGGATATTAGCGAAGTAAAATTTTCATACTACTGTTACTAGTGTTGTAATTATTAAAGCAGAAAAAAAAAAGAAATGATGAATATTTACTGTCGCATGACAAACGTATTAAATATAAGTTAACAGTAACTTGTATTTGCAATTTTAAAGCTCTCTGGGATGGAAAGTTTATAATAATAACATCATTTCCATCTTTTAAAGAATTTTTAAGATTTTTATTTGTAGCTTTCTTTCTTTAATATTTAAAATTTCAGTAGACAATGAATCACTATTATCGTGGTGGTGCCGCTCCTAGATATGAGCGAATCGACCAGGAAGATGTTCCTGAAAGCAAACATACAGTTTTCATTCGTGGTCTTCCAGGCCATCTTAAAACTGATGAAGTGAAGTTGGTTTTTTTGCGGTTTTTTCACTTTTACATAAAGTTTCGATTGATAGTAAAAATATCCATTAATTTTTCAGGTCTAAAGTAAGATTTTTACTGAATTGAATTGGTTTTTAGTCTACAGCGAGATTTTAATTTTCAATTTTGCTGAAAGCATTGGTTATTGAATTTTTTGACCGATTAAGCAATTAACTATAGATATTTTGATAATACAGATCTTTAAATTTTAAAAGACCACAAATGTTGTCTTAAAACTAGATTTTTCTTTTTATTGTTTTTTTTCCGCTTTCATAATTCCACAATTTTCCACTATTATTGTTATTAATGGCAGGCAAAAATGCGTTTTTTTTCCATTGTATTGAAGCTTTTGCGATCAAAGTAATATAGAAAATATGGGTTATTTGTTATTTTTAACTTTAGCATGAAAGAAATTGGACTTTGTCACTGAAAATGGTCAGTTTTTATGATCATTCATTAACGTTTTTCGTTTTATTTTATTATTGTTCTAAGCAATTTAGGATAGTGATGATGCATTTTTAATGCTCACAAATTTTGCTTATTTCCAGGCGATAATTTAATTATGTTATTTGAAAATATTTTCCTTTCTGGCTGGATTTGGATGTTTTTATATATACAAAAATAGTGAATGAATTATCATTAATTGTTGAAACTATTTGGTTTCTTCCAATTTCTTATAATTCCCAAATAATATGTCTTAATTTGGTTTTCTAATGGAGAAATTTGCTTTGTGCCTCGTATTTTCTTAAATTGCACACTTAAAGTGCTTTATCAATCAGGCCATCCATCAATTTTATCAGTTGATTTCAATTTTTAAATGATTAAATAATCTTGATAATATGTCAATGTTTCATTGGATAAAAAAGCTAATTAATAATATAATCTAATGACCAGAATAGATTATAATATTTGTGGTTATATATTTCGGTTTTATTGGCATTCTGGTTTTATTGGTTTACGGTTTTTTTGCTCAGATTATATTGCACAAAGGTAAGAGGTGCGATAGAGTTGTTATATTTTGAATGTCAGTATTTCTTTCAGAGATGTTATGTCTAAGGTAGAGTTTTTCATAAAAATGTTGATAGATATTTATATATATATATTTTTTTCTTTAATGGTTGTCGTGAGCTGCAAATTTATCTTCAAATTTTCGAAGCATTTCAGAGATTTTTTCGAGGATCATATCGGTCCATGCTCATTCGATTTTATCAAAGTATCTCAAGATCAGTTAAAATTATTTGTGGCAGTTCGTTTTGAAACTCGTGATGCGGCTAAAGAATGTATGCATAAGTAAGTAAATTTTTTTTGACGTGATTTTTTCTTTTCTTCCATCATTTTTCTTTAGCTTATTTATTATGTTTACAGATATAAAGATGGCGAAATTCTGGGATATCCAATTGAAATGACATGGTTTAGAGATATTCGTCGTTTTGTTTCATATCAGCAAAGTCAAAGTACCATTTTTCATTATTATGATTTAAATAATTTCCAACTGAGGTTATTGGTCCATCTGTTATTTTAATCAATCATTTTTGAAATCGGTCTTCCATTTATCAGTTTTTTTTTTGAATGTTACTAGCTTATTCAGAACATTCCTGTCCAGAATTAGTTTGATGTTTGTAGATTAATTGAAACGATTTATTCAAAAATCGTTTAAAATAACTAAAGTTCAAGGTCATGAGATTTTGTGGAGGAATGGAATATCGCAAATTCCGGATCATTTCCATCCAGAAATTATTTTTGCTCAAATTTGTTTATTGCTATTCATAGTCGACGTTTATTTACAATTTGTTAGCGGAAGCTAGGATTCTGATTATCCATTCTATATTAGATTCTGATTGTACACTTTTATTCTTTTGAATGTTAATAGAGTAATAAAATTTTATTTTTAACTTTTTGTGAATTCATGTTGGTTTTACCAATATGAATCTTATAATAAAATCTTTTCAAGGTTTAAGACCACCATCGATGCGGGGGCGAGGATTTGCTCGTGGTCGTAGTCGAGTGGTGTACGACCGCAGAGTGGATTATCGGTATTTTAAATTAGTTAAATAATAATTAATGGTTTATTATTTCCTTATATGGAATTGAAAAAATTAATTTTTCAGTGAAAAAAGAAGAGTTAAAGATATCGGACAAGAGGGAAATTAGCTATGTCGATTTCTGATTTTGTGTGATTTGGTATTATCGATGTGAAAATTTTAAGAAAAGGTGATTCATCATTCAATTAGTTAATTATTTTAGGGATGATGAATCCAAAAGAAAGCGGACGCTATCGGATGAAAGGCGTTCATTATCAAGGGATTCTCGATCAAGATCAAATAGGTGAGCAATTAGTCTCGTATTTTGACACGTTTCGTGGAAGATTTTTAAGCTCAAACACTGAAGTTTTTGCTTTCATCGTTAAATTTATGCATAAAGCTCAGTTTACAATTAATTAGACTGTTTTAAATAAGTTAGTTGAAATTTTAAAATTCGTTGAAGTGGTGAAAAAGCAATTATTTAATATCATTTGTACAGAAACATCAAATTTGTCCTAATTTGTTTTGCAACTTAAGATGCAACTTAATTCTAAGGAACATTTCACAGTCGTTAGCACCGTCATTAACCACCGACGTTATTTTGTTTTAATAAGTTTTTAGGTTTGATAAAATCGATTTCAAAAGATAATTTAATTTCTGAAAATTTTGCATCCTTGCATCCTACTTTCTGTCGTTCTATTTCAGTTCATCAAGCCGAAGCCGTTCACCACGTCATTCTCGTGATCGATCACGCACTGTTGATAGCAATCATAGTCAGCATACGAATATTCGTGCGCATTCCCGTAGTCGCTCTCGCTTATCATCTGCTTCACCACCTCCGCATGAAAAAACTTCTTCACCGCCCAAACGTTCGCCAACATCAAAACACAATGGCGAAGTAAGCCCAGTTTTTAAAATTTTGCAGTAAATTGCAAAATTTCATTATTCCATTTACGATAACCGAAAATTTTGCCCAAATATCACTTTTATTTTTGATGATATCATTCAGGGGAATGGCAGAGTCCCAACTTCTCAGAGAAGTATGACACCTCCTTTGCCTCCATCTCCTGTCCCGGCTTCTACAGTAACAGCCGCAGTATCAATAACCAAATCACAGCCTGATTCATCTCGGAAGGCCAGTGTGGTATGTTCCGTTAATATTGAGAAAGATATTTATATTTCTAAAGAGAAAAGAAAGAAAAGAAAAAGAAATTTTTCAGAGTCGATCACCATCGCCAGTCATTGAACGTAAATCACGAAAATCAAAACGGGAGAAGAAGAAACGGCGTCGGCGTTCCCCATCATCGTCAAGCTCCAGCACTACCGTGCCCGAACGTACATCTGATGAACTGAGTGAAGGCGAACTTCGAAGAAAAATTCTTAAAAAAAGAGAAAAGGCGATGAAAGAAGAATCTAGTAAATATTCGGATGAGCATTTCCATGATTCTAAAGATGTACATGAATGTTCAGCATTTCCTCCATTTTTTTCAGCATCGCAGAAAATGACTGAAAAAAGTGGAGTGTGGGAGGAAAAAGAAGTGGTTGCTCCACGTATTGAGTCGATATTGCAAAATACCACTTTAAAATTCGGGCTTGAAAGCACCGTGAGTATAGTTCTTATTTTTACCATATTTACATGTTTTTCGAGCTTTTCTTATCTTTTCAAGTTTTTGTTTTCAGAATGATTTTTCATAGTTATTTTATTGAAATACACTGTAAATTCCTTTTGTAGGAGGATATACCAAAGCGCGTTATTCGTGATACTCCACCTCAGACTCATTCAAAAAAGCAGGTACTGGCTTCTGTTTGGTTTTCCAAAAATTGTTAAATAAACAATTTTTTTCCTCCATTTGAAAATTTTGTATTTGGAACAATTTTTTAAAATATTATAAAAGTAAATATTTCATTTACTTGGAAAATTCTTTTTCAGCGATTGACTTCACCGGCAGTGCCACGCAATTCAAAAGGTTTGTCGATTTAACTGTAAAAGAAAATATGAATTAGTGGAAAATATTGAAAAACTTTTTCTAATGCATTTGATCAAAAAGTTTTCATTTTTAGGAAATGTTGATGATCTTCTTTCGAAGCGTGGTATCGGACTGAAACCAGCTAATAATGTTCTGGGTGACTTGAAGAGCACACAGGTTAATCAAAGATTTTTCTCTCCACTATCATTTTTTTACCGAAAATCGAAAACATCTTGAGGTATATTAAAATTTATTTCAAGATGACTTTCGCTCAACAGGGTCATCACGTCTCGATGAAAACCATGGTTGATGAAGATCCAGACCCAGTGTCCTCTCCTGTTGGTAAAGTGTTAATTTGCATTTTAATTTTGATGTTTATTTTGGAATTTTATGATGCAAGAGTTAGTGTAAAGTATCAACTAGGATAAAATATTGATTTTGAAGGAGGCCTTCGTCTAAGCTCATTCGCTCGACAGTTGAATGCAGGTAATGAAAGAGAACGTAAATTGAGCAAATTATCTCCCGAATTGTTTGCAAAATTTACGACAAAGAAGAAACAACTCGAATCCGTAATTTATCTCTTTTTGCTTAAATATATAATACATCATCCTTATAAGGAAAATTCAACTTTTTTTCTGTCAGTTTGCAATTTTTACAAATTATAAAATTTACCAATTGCAATAAAAATTATCAGTCAATTTAAAAAAATTTTTACTTCAGATTCCGGAAAAAAACCGTTTAGACTTTTTTGCAGGCATACAAGAGCGATTGTGAAACGTTTGCTTTCGTGACAAAGGCTTTAATTGAAAAAGATCAAGCATTAGAAGATCGTTTACTTGCAGCTCTATCAGCAGCCCTCAATGATATTGAAGAATCTTTTAACCAGAAAATTGACCAATATTTAGACCAGTTACTGATGTTCATGACGGTTTAACCATTACTCCATTTTATTTCCTTTTGACCGTTTTTAATTTTTGAAATAAATTGTTGGAAACGGAAAATTTCAAGCTGGCAAGTTTTCCAGTGTAAAACTGATTCATAGTGCAAAAAAATAAAAAAGATACATAAAAAAGAAAAAGGTAAGATTAAATATATTTTTAAATTATTTTCAAAATATTTACAAAGAAAAATGCAATTCATATTGCAATGAAGTTTTTCACAACAAAATCAATGAAAATTATTCCCGAAAACGAAAGGCAGCATAAAACAATGTAAAAATTAATGAAATCTGAAAGACAATAGAATTAGAATTCGGTTGAAGTCAATAATTTTATAACAATTTTATAACAATGAAATAACAAGGTAGAGAATTTCATAAACATGCCTTTCAAAGTTTGACATTATTCTCTGCGTTATCATTCTAAAGCAATGTGAAATTATATTTGAAGTCAAATGATAAAATCATAAAATCATAAGCAAATGCAGTAATATTGTCAAAAATTATGGGGCATGTTTGGTAGAAAACGGCTAAAAACTGATAAAATTCGCAAATAAATGAACAGATTTTATACAACAAAACTTTCGAAATCAGGCTTTACAGGTAAAATAAATTTAAAACCGTACCATATACATGATTAACTCAGTAATTTACATATAAAATTAAATAAATATAAAAAATCCGGCACAATAAACAATCGGTGATATGATATCATAGAAGTGAAAGCCCTCATTATTATATGAGAAGCAAATGAAGATGTTTAGAGAAATTTCTTCTTAAACATAGAACTATTTATATGTTCAGATTATACGCGATGTCTTAATGTTTTTTTTTTTTTGAGCTGACTTTTTTAATTTTCTGCTTCAATCGAGAATAATAAAATTGCGAAGAAAACTACCAAAATAACGCAACGTTCGCGAGTTTCCATATTTTTGATAATTTTACAATTTTCTCGATAGCAAAACAAATTTAAGCTCATCTTAGCAACAGAAAAAAAGTGATTTTCCAAAGTGACGAAATAAAAAAAAAACATTTACGACATCGCTTTTCTATAACAATTAAAATGAAAAAAATTCTGAAAGAATATACTAAATACATTTGTATTATTTTTCATACTGAATATTTCCAATTACATATGGTATTTCTTTCGTAAATAGTAGCAATCAGTTGAGATTGAATGATAAAAAATGAACAAAAAAAATAAAGTTTAAGGTTTCAGTGATCAACATATCTTACATTTTTCGGAGATTTTACGTTGAAATATTGAAATTTGAGCGCTTTTGCGCACGTTGGACGCTGATTCGGATTGAATTTGAGCATAGCCTGAAAAATTGTGCATAAATTGACGTGAAAATACTTAAATATAGGAAAATTGAAAAAATTATATAAAAAAATATTTTTTGAAATTTTTTTAAAAATTAAATCAGCATTAAATCAGCATAAATTAAATAAACGAGTGAATTGGAAATATTGTATATCAGAGGAGTAAATCCAATCAATACTTATGACTTATAAGATTCTATAAAGTTCTCTCGATTCGGATTTTGATCCATTTTAAGAATTATCAATGAATTCTAATATAAAAAGAAAATATCGATGAAAACTCAAATCTCTCATTAATATAACAATATCGGGGACTCTTAATTAACTTGATATTTTTAAATTGCCTTTTTTATATCAATTATCCATATATCAATTTTTTATTTATTATTTATTTTTTATTCATAATTCGAGTTCATAGCATAATTTTTGTTCTCTTCTTAAATAAATAAATCATCAGTAGATCAAAATAATTTGCAACTTAAAACATACAATGAGAAGATCGCGTCCTTCGTTAGGTACTCTCGGTGTTATTCTTGAAAAAGATTGTGCAGGAAAAGAAGAAAAGTGGTTTCGGCTAACAATAGCTGTTCGAGGCCATTCTTCAGCACTTGGAGTTCCTAATTTCCTAAAAATAACATAAAAGATAAAAGTGAGCTGATTCCACAGAAAACTCTATTTTGATAAAATTTTCTTTTTCTAATAGCACTTACCACCATTAGTTAGGCTGGCTGGATAAGATCCTTTAACCAGAAGGTCACGAAAGTTACTCAAGAGTTACAGTCCGGATTTTAGTTTTAATGACAAATTTACTCTTTAAAAGAAAAAATTTCGCAATTATAAAATCACTACGAAAGAAATTGCGAAAAAACGACCTCTTAATGTTTTATATCAAATTTTTATAGGAAATAAGAAAATAAAAAAAATTATTAAATTGGCTACAGAATTAGGAAAAATAGTGCCCAAGAAAAAAACAAAGAATAGACTAACTGAAATATAAGATTCAGTTGTTGAACTTCAGTTTTTCCAGGAAAAAGAGGATCTCTCGAATATAATTCTGCAATGATACAACCAGCAGCCCAAACATCTACTGCAGTATTGTAGGGGCATTGCAGGAGAAGTTCAGGACTTCTATACCATAATGTTACTACCTAATACAATAAAAAGAAGATAATGATAAGAAAAAAAATGATATAAAAAATTTTAAGCTAATTTGAACAACATATACTTTCCCACTTTTCAGCCAAATTTTACGACAATAAAATCAAAATGATCATTGTCTTTGTCCCTGAAATGTTTTACTAATGTAAATTCCATGATAATCATGTTTTTATATTTCGATTTTCTTTTTATCAAAAAAAAGGTAACCAATAAAAATAACTAACAACAGGAGTGAATGAAGACTGCGCCGAAAAGTGCCTTGCGAGACCAAAATCGGTTATTTTCACATTTTGATCCCTATTTATCAGGATATTTTGAGGCTTCAGATCTCGATGAATAATTAAATGAATGTGAAGAAAATGCAAACCTTCGAGAATCTGGAAAATATAATGACCTTATGTTTATAAATAATATAAGAAATATAACAGCAAAATATGAATTTCTCTGGAAAACGTTTAAGTGCATAAAGCGTATTAATTTATTAAGCAAATATATAGTTGGAGTTCACCATTTTCAGTTAAGCTCATTCTACTGGCTGTTTTAGTAAAGTTGGAAACGTCTGTTTGATGGCCATCGGAGAAAATATATATATATATACACAAACAGATTACAAGCACCATTCAAACTTTTTAATGGCAAATTTGCAATTGATGAAGAATAGGACCAAACCTTCATGTCAAAGATAATCTGCGTAAAACATTTTTGCATTTCTACTTCTTCCTATATTATTCATTAAAGTCAAAAACAGCACAAACCATTACTGATAATTATTATTGTGCAATCCTAATATTTCACTAACGTATGCGATTGATATAAACGCCAAGATTATTTATCTATTTGTTAATCTGTTTTACTCTATCGATAGAACGGCTCAGTGGGTTGTTTCTTAATAAGGAGCACCGATGTCAAGGTCTTTCCCGAAGTAAACCTGCCCAAAAATCCGAATCGTCAGCATCATCAGGACAATTCATTTATATTTGCAGCCAAGGCATATTTGTCCAGTGCGACAAGCCAGCAGAGAGAATTTAACCAGTAATGATGAGAATTCTTTTAAAAAAAATCCTAGTATTTCGCTGGCTGCATTATTGCTAGGATTGATATTAATGTCAAGACTATTTATCTATTACTTGTTTTACTCCATCGATAAATTTAAAAACATTTTTTTAAATCACATTTTATGATCAACGTCAATCCAAAAAAAAAACTTATTAAATGCAAGTTATAAAAATTTCGAAAAATTATATTAAATATAAATTATAAATTAAACATGAAATTAGCGGAAGCGGATTTAAACACCATTCTTTGAAAATAAAAGGAACTTGTTTAGCAATTTTTCGGCATTGGCTATCACCCATATCGCGAGGAATACCTTTCAAAAACTCATAAAGATCCCAATCACATTTTTCATAAAGAACACATAATAATAGCTCCGTATCTGATTTCATATAAGTAAATACTTCTTCCAGCCTGAAATAATAAAAAATTCACTTCAAAAAAGTAGGCTTTATTCAGCAATAATATATTTTTAAATTTAATATTTAATATAAAGCTGAAAATTAATAATAAAAAGTCCTAAATTTTATATTCAACTGGATAGCCAAGTGGTTGGTTGTTGCTTCGTCAAAGTTTAGATCCTTCTTCCAGCAGAAGTAAACAAACCTGCTATTAAAAATCAGGATGGTATTTATGACCCATCTATGACCTACATCTACACTTTTATCACGAAATAACTCTCTGCCAAAATTTTCTCATCGCACTAACAGCTATCCCAGCCAGTCTGACCATAAATAATAAATTCTAACCACTTGCTTTTTTTATTTTCTTTCTTTCTTAATCTCCAAATTAACTTATAACATTTTTTTTTGCAAAATGTAATGAATTCAATAATAAACTGAATAATATTCTGAGGTAAAAATTTTATACATTTCATTAATTTTGATTGTAACTAAAATAAAATAAATAAATAATACTTGATAATATTGTGATGCTGACAGGGCAGTGATTTGATTGAAGCAATTTCTCGAATAATGCTCTGAGGAACCCCTTCATTTGTCTGTACTGTTATCTTCTTCAAAGCATACTAGAAAGAAACACTTCTCATCGATACTGCTATATAAGTATTATTGTTGCAAAGTACCCAATGACTGACAGAGACGGTAAAAACTGTACTTTCAAATTAATTTTGTAAAGCTTTAAAACTTAAGTAAGAACTCGTAAATGCGTCAGAATTTCAATTGTTTTAAGCAAATAAATGGACTATTCGAAAATCTATCGATGAATGAGGAAGAATTCCTCAAAACTTTTAAATATCAAAAAAAAAAAAGATGATGCTAGCTTCCATGATGTTATGTTTTATTCTACGTACACTTTAAGAAACTTCATCGTGAATGGATTTCATGGATAGAAGACTAAGAGAAAATTTTCTGGGTTATTGATATATAAATCCAGTTAGAATTAAAAACTCGCATGAACTTTTATCCCCAACTGACTCTCCGGCGAATATCCTAATGGCCAGTGCAGCTGGCCAAACCAGAAATGATTACAGTTATTAGAAAAAGAAGAAATTTATGTGGATTTGAAGATTTTCCTAAAATCTTTCTGACAACATTCTTCACCACAAAGTCAATCGTGGTCAAAACGCGGCAGCATCACTTTTTCACGATGAGGTTTACTATCGGCAAGAGGAAGGAATCCAATCCACGATGGCTGAAGCAACATAGCACTCGACTATCCTATCCACCATGTCTACTAGTTGTTAAAAAATTTTTATTTATATTGCTAAAGTAAGTCACGAATTTGATCTATAAAATGAATGTGAAACGAATCGCTTTCAATAAATTTAATTTCATTAAAACCATTTTAAAAATCTTAGAAAATTTTTAAAAAAATGAAAATCTTAGATCTGAAAACTTACTTCCTTTTTTGTTTTCTTATGAGTAACATGATGGACGACTCCATAAGCACCACGTCCAATAACACCTCGTTCTTCATACTCCTCATGAAACCGATCGAAACGCGATCCACTCATATTTTTATCCTTCTCAACCAGAAACAAAAAATAAAATGAGAAACTTTATGTTGTAACCGGTCAATTCCTCTTGATACCGAGCAGATCTTCACCTATTAACAGCAAAATATTTTAGAGGAAAATTTTTTCAAAAAGATATTCTTCGTGGGTTTTTTGCTTTCGTACGCCTAAGCTTAAATCTTTCCTTAGGCCTTTTGTTTTTGTTTTTCTAAGACTATATTCGGAATGAATGCTCCCATCAGTTTTCTGAACCATAGCTGATTAAATCTGCATTCAGTTCATCCCATCCTCGCATGAAAGCTTCCCCTACGATAAGTACCAACACTCCCACGAACCATCACAATTTCATTAAATAAACTTCTAACGAACCGAAAGAAACAAATTTCAAATCAAACATCGGCTGATGTCACTGCTATTCGTCGGTAGCGGATTGTTTGATTTAAAGTGTTGCAAATGGTTTCATTGAAAAAAATTAATGGTACTTTTGCTTTCACTTAACAAACATTGGAATATTGCATCGGATCTAATTAAATTTAAATACGTTTTCCTCTCGCAATTCATAGGATTTATCCAAGTTACAGGTCGGTACCAACGTCGATTTTACGCTTTTCTATTGTGGAACATCGGTTTAACGAGGAAACCAATCGGTTGGTCTTCGGTCTCGTAAAAATCCTGTAACATTCTTCTGCAAGAAGCATTCAGTGCACAAACCATTTATTAAAGTTCTCCTTCTTCTGATAACCTTCTCAACCTTTTCTCAATTTCCACGAACTATTTGGAATGAAGCTTTTCGTCAGAAAGTTATCGGAAAAATAGGATTACGAGTGGATTTCAGTGATATGATATGATATGATATGATAGATTAATGGTAACTTTGCCTTGTCGGAAAATCAGAAAAATAGGGTTACGAGTGGATTTCATTGATATGATATGATAGATTAATGGTAGCTTTGCCTTCATTAAAGCGTTAGAATCGAGCCTGCAATGAAGCAAAGGCAAATGATATGATATGATATGATAGATTAATGGTAGCTTTGCCTTCATTAAGGCGTTAGAATCGAGCCTGCAATGAAGCAAAGGCAATTTTTTCGCCAAAATTAGAGGCATAAATACGAGAAGGTAAAAAAAAAGCCATAAATAGGCATAGTTTGTCCATACGATGTGGGAATGCTTGCTAATTGAAAAATAATCTATTCATTAAAAAATTCGTGTATTGCTGGCTGAGGGTCGCCTGTGGTACTTGTATCGCCAAGTGACTCTTTGACAAAAAATTTCGAACAATGCTGATAGTTAGCGAAACGAAGCTAGCTTAACCACAAAAACAACGCATTCATCCAATTTCATCGTTTCGTTTCTGAATTGCGGTGATTTCGGATTGGTGGTTCCACGCATTTATGAATAAAAGAAGATTCTCGAGAAAATTCACCACGAGAAAATGTTTTTTCTTGTTTAACGACCATTTTTGCACTACAATTTTGCGCATTTTTATTGCTTTCAAAATATTGCACTTCAATAAAAATGAAAAAACGAGAAATTATTCAAAAAACACCTACGCTGCATTTACAGCATTCATTCGGGTTTTTTAAACACCAATTATTTCTATTTGGTTGATCGCGCAAAACAAGTTTTCGAATGTTTTCCACGAAAAGAAATAGCATTTAAATTTTTATAAATGTTTTTTTTTCTCTAAATAGTTCCCCAGGTTGGTTGTTGGATTCGTCCTTCTTTTGCTTTTCCTTTATTATTTTAGGTCGGTGCTTTTTATAAAAATTATTTTAGCACAAATCGTAAGCCTTTCTTTCTATTTGCATCAAATTATCCATCATATTTTCTTATTTTTTCGTTCATTAATTACGCGTATGAATAAAAATTAAAAAAATTTTTTGGAAAAATAAGGTTTTGTTCATTTTGAAACCGAAACGCAACTCCTCTTTGTTTCCTCTTTATTTCATTAGTTTTTGCTATATTTTCTTTTTTTATCAGTAATTTTTGTTATTTGTTATTTTATTAGTAACACTTGCCGTGCTTGGTTGGTTTTCAATAAATAAATATTTTTAAACTATGTTTCGCCGATAGCAAATAATATAGCAAATAATTTCATTGCAGTTGGTAATAAATCACCAATATTTTGCTTTTAATAGCAAATTCGAGCATCAAAAGATCCATGGTGATCTCACTCTGGTCCAGGCAATAGTCTTCAAACAGTAAATAATCCATGATAGTCTCATTATAGTCCAAGCAATAGTCTTCAAACAGTAAAAGATCCATGGATGGCCTGGCCATAGTCCAAGCTCTATGTTTCACTTTTATGGTTACACTGAATATTCTCCTTTTCTCATAACAAAGTGATGCTAAGGTAATATAAGGTAGCTGGTTCTAAGGTGATATTATAATGCATTATTAATTGTAAAGTAAGAATTGGTTTGTAGGGCCAAAGAAGTCGTGAAAGATATCAGTTAGTTATCACAAATTTGTATTATCATTTGCCTTTGTATAGTACCACAAAATGCATAAGTTTTAAATTTTTTTGAACAATTCTTTGTTTTTGTTCTGCAATGAAACCTTCGGCTTTTTGTTTCAAATCTCTTTTTCTAGTTTTCCGAGTAAAATTTGCTCATCGATTCACCCCTAATTATTATGAATTCACCCAATCTTCTTTCAAATAAATGGTTTTTTTCGTTTTTTTTTTTAATAATTTATTGATAATGCGACGGAAATTTAACAATTTCTATGGAGTAAATCTTGAAATATAGAAATTTATGCTTAAAGCAAGCGTCCATTAATTTGCTGTTACGCTCATCTTTGTCTTCTCCTCATCATTAATCGTTAGTACGGCTCCGCTGGTTGCAAGGATAAGTCAAGGCCTCGAAGCCGATAAAGCCGATTTGATCCGATGCCATTCCTGTGATTAAAAGAAGCTATTTCCGTCTATGCCGATGGGTCACATATATGTTTAAAAATTCTCTTCTCAGTGTCCAGGTCTTCCTCGCTTTTGACGCATTCACCACAGAGTTTAACAAGTAACTAAATTACTATTATGGGCGACGAACATGGCCTAAGCGACATGTTTGGCGATATTTTGGATGCAGCTCCGAGCCAAGATGAATGTACAATGTAAGATTTTATTTGCTGCGAGAACTGTAAAATATATCTTAAACATGAATGTTCAAATGCAAATATCTTAATATCCTTCAATTCCATTGGCCATGTCTCGTAGTTATATAGTAAAATCGAGCGAATTGCAGGTATATAGATGCGAACTTTCGTTTTGATGGGGATTTTACGACGGCTCCGTAAAGATTTGCCAACTGGAAGAAGGCATTTCTAGCATTATTTGGGCTATAATTTCGTCTTTCGCTTAGCCGTTTGGAATTAAAGTGTATCCAAGATATTTAAAATTTGCCACTTCCTCAATAAGTAATGAATTGATAGAAATATGTATTTTTAACGTCTGGCATATAAGACGAAAAGTTTTGCATTGATCCTGAGTCCAATTTTTACTGGGATTGTCGATATACTCTCTAGCATCTTTTTTTTAACTTCTATAATTGTATTTCTACACAATTATCAGCAAAAATGACTGCATCATTCAAGATCCGTAACTCCTGGATTGACGCAGAAACGCAGAGCTAATGGACACCAGTTTTTATTTCGAAAAAATCTAATCTAAAAGTCCACAGATCCGATGTATGTTGGTATACCAGCAGTCGAATGTTCTTTCCTGGAACCGCATCGCCTCACCCTCTAGAGATCTTCTCAACTGAATCGAAGGCACCTGATCGATGAAACAACAAGTGCCGATGGGTTGTTAATATTTGAAATGTTCCAACATCATTCTTCATATTTATATGTGAATATTTGGTCAGCATGCTCACTCCCTGGTCTGAATCTAGCTTATAGGGCCGGGGCCGTACTGCCATAAGTCTGTTTAGCAAAAGAGAGGAGAAAGATTAATTCCTCAGTAGTTGTCACCTATCGTACCAATATCCTGTCATTTTGATAACTGGGAATAGAATTGTTCCAGTCATCTGATATTAGTTCTTTTTCCGATACCAGAGAATGCAACCAAAGAATGTCGAATATGAATTATGAAGGACCAAGAACAACATCTGAAGACTGCAGGCCGACGACCGTCAACTCCTTTAGAGCTTTACGTCTCTGTATGACGATGATTATTTCCTGCTCTCGCTCCCTACTGGTGGTTCACAATTGCAAAACTCTGGCTCGAAAAAATTCATTTATTTTCGGAATGGCAGATTGTGGTTAAATTTTGGTCTCAAAGAATTCGTTCCACCATAAAAGACGGTCTTTGATAATCTTAATAGGCATACCATTATCACTGATCCAATTACGGTTGTATTATGAAAAGGGGGGGTGTAGTTCCCTATCGTCGCCTAGTCGACCAGCCATCTCCATATTCAGATCACTGCAGTGCGAGATTTCTGTTTCACCATGCCGCTATTGCATACCTTCGAAGCGTCTGGCAGCCAGGATCTTTTAATTTGTACTTCGACAGATTTTTTGAACATTTGGACGATCGCTTCCGATAGCCAATTAATGTATTTCCGAGCGGCATACTCTAATATTATTTTGGTCCAGAATCGGAGACATGTCTTCCGTTAGGACCAGTATTCATCGGCCATTCCAGAGGCCTCGTTGACATTTGCGGGCCGCAATATTCATCGACCACAGCCGTTATTATATATTTTGCGTTCCTCAGTAGTAAGATAAGATTTTTATTTTTCAGCTCAGCCAAAAACGAATTTCATCCGGAAGCTTCTTTTTCAGTTTCAGTTTTCTCTAAGAATATCGAAAATATAAAAACTTTCGGAAAAATTTATCGTCGAATTTTCCTGTCTAATATTCCTTTTAATTGGAAATAAATTTCAATTTCAAATTCAAAATTTTTATTGTTTTTTGCAAAAAAAGACATATTTTCAATGAAAATTATTTGTGTAATAATAAAACTATAATTGGTTATTTTTCTTTTTTAAAAATAAACTATAAGCGCCACCATATTTCGCGCGCAAAAAAATGTCGAAAGGTCGGCAAAATTGTCGTCGCGCCGCGCGATTGCAATTGGCCGAGGTGAATCGTCAAAAGAAGCCTTTGTTAATTGTTGTTTTTTATTTTTTAGGTGCTCAGAGTTGTTGTTATGAACGAAACTGCCTTTGCCATTCGATAGGAGTTTATTCGTCATCTTCAGCGATCGAAATTCGCTGCGATGCGTTGGTGTTGTTTTAAATTTTGGTTCATCTATCGTTTAATGTTGGCCGTTTTGGCGCATTTCAATTGGATTATCGCAATTTATGTGAATTGCATATATTTTTGGTTGTGGAAAAGTTATGACTTATTATGGTTTTGGATGCATCTAATTTTGTCGATTTGCTTTAAACCACTTCGAAAAGAAAATTATTTGCTTGTTTGGTGTAATTTATTGATAAAAAGGTGTCGTTCTGATTATCGATTTACATCTTACAGAGTTAGATTTTTACCACCTTTTTTATCACCTTTTTTATCACCTTTTTTGTCACCTTTTTATCACCTTTTTATCTAGAGGAGCGCGTCTATGCTGAGGTTCTATTTCCTATTGGGAAAATTTTGTTGGAAAAATTCGAATGATGCTGACGACTCGCATCTACTTTATCACCTTTTTTATTGCTAATTCTTATTTAAAGGAAGATGGCTGGGAGATTAATTGGAAAATTTAAATGAAAATGGAAAGATTAATAAAGATAAGATTTTCAGGAGATTTATGCTATATATTATCGAGGAAAGAAATCAAAATCTGAAAAAGAATTGGAGAGGATCAATACAATCGAGGCGCGAGAACGGGAAATGGAAGATGAACTGAATGCAGTAAATGATAATGATAATGGCAATGGTGATAATGATAATGAAAATTTTTTAAAGGAAACAAAGTCTGTATAATTTTGCTTTTTTTAATTTTATTTATTTTGAAACTTTTTAATTTGTTTAATTTTTAATTTTTGCTAAATTAATATTTGAAAAATTGAGAAAGTTGGAAGTTATTTAAATTTGTAATTTAGAATTTTACCAATTTTCTATTATTTTATCTATTAAATTTTATTAAATTTTTATTAAATTTTTTTTATTTTAAGGATTTTTTTTTAGATTCGATAGGCAAAAAAAATTCGTCGAGATCCAACAGGGTGCGCTCAGGAATTAATTTCATATCTTGAACTTTCATCAGTTTTTGAGTTTTGATGAACCAGTGTCTCCTTAAATTTGCGAGAATGAAGAGCTTTCTTTTTTGCAAACGGAAAAGGAAACTTGAGTTATTTAGTCGCTCTATTTTGTGAAAATCAATTTGTTTTAAATTTAATATTTTAATTTCATTCTTCTTGTGAGAATAATAAATTCGTTAAATTTTAGATCCCAGTCTGTCAGGCATATATCCACGTGTTGAATCTGTAGTACAAAATAATAACTCAGTGAACAATCCCATTTGTATCGGAAGTTATACAGGAATGAAAAGGTAAAAAATTTTAACTTTCAGATTTTCGATCCAGCATTAGATTTTTTAATTATTAATAAGATTGGTTCATAATTAATTTAAAGTAGTAAATAAATTGGTAATATGCACCATTTCTTGTTAGATTAATTTCGTTGCTGTTCTTATAGAAATTTTTGCCAGAGAATTATTTGGCAATGGAAATGCAAATGGGTCACCAGATCAGGATTTTTTGATGATAGGTTTGGTTATATAGGGCACAGGAATCGAACATTTCACCTTTTTTTTCTGGCTAATCCGAGAAAAATCTGTTGAAAAATTCTTATAATTCGAAAAGTCGAAATTTATTACCATAAATTCCAAAAAGGGAAAATTTCAAGGTCAGGATTGGCCAATGTTGAAATAGATTATGTAACAAATCTTGACAATGAATCTGATGATGGTGCGATTGGGCATTGGTCAAATAAATTGAATTTACAAAAGTTCATACCGAGGACGAAACGAACTTATAATGAATCAGGTTCATATAATATTTTTATCTCTTTGGTTTTCATTTTATTTAATTTTTTTCTAATTATTGTTTATTAATTTATTTATTTATTAATTATTAATCTTTTTGAGATGCAAATAAAGTTGATATATTGCGTCCTAATTTCACAAATACTTACGATCTAAGAAGTGAAAAGCATGTCTTGAAACGTGAAAAACAAGATCGTAAAGCCCTAACAAAAAAAATTCGTGCGAGACGAAAAGCTGAACTGGCAATTATAGCCAGGAAAGAAGCACGGTTGGAACATTTTCTGTATTATTTATAAATATCAATTTCTAATATTTATCGGACCCGGTATTAATCAAAAAATAATTTTATTTTTAAAATAAAACATTTCTAATTTAATTTAATTTTTTTTATTTAAAGCATACTGTTTCCATTTCAATTTTCTACACTTTTTTTAAAATTTCTTAATCATTTAAAGTTATGTGAAGTTGCTTTTTGATTTTAAAATATTTTTATAATATTACATATCCTATAATATTATACCATTTTCAGAGAAAAAGCTTTGTCAAACGCAATAGAATTATTATTGCAAATCTTAAGAATGATTGCATCTTTCGCTATACTTGTAGGCAATATTCGTAAGACATTTATTCCCGCACAATTCAAGTGGTTAAAGCCAGGTCAAAATGCATATGACAATCCAGAATTACTTATTTTATTCCGGTAAGTTCTGAAAATTCCCTAAGACTTCACATAACAGCGTATTAATTTATACTATAAACAAAATTACATTTCAGATTTACAGTTTTTTTGGATGTTGTGCTTTTTTGGATGAATATCCTTTGGACTAATTGTCTCCAATGTCAGTTATGTTGTCGACTTGGTATTGTAAAATTTTGGTTGTGGTCACTGGTATTAGCAACTGTTGGTGGAGTCTTTATGATTATGCCCATGATATATGTGCAAAAAAATTTGGATATAAGCTGGTGTAGGCTTTTGCCAAATTCAAGCCTCATACGTTATCAACCAACATGGTGAAGAATCAGTGATTTCGCAGTGCCATTTTATTTCTTTTCAATTTCTTAATGTTTATGTTTTTATTTTTTTACAGCAAAAAACTAAATGAGGTACTCACAGGTTAAGCAAATTTTTTAAAATCTTGTCCCACAATTTTTTAGAATTTTTATAAATCGGCAGACTTGCGCTAATTTATCTAAATTTCACTGGTTTTTTTTTTTATATTTTATTTTTACATTAGCATGTTATTTTTGGTTTTAGCATGTAAAGTATATTATCTTTTAATATTCTTTTCTAATATCTAATATTCTTTAATTTTTAATCGTTTTTTTTCTATATAGGTAATCCTTTATTCGAATTTCACTTGGGTACAGCACTTGCATTGCTTTCCTCAATGAGGCACTTAAACTGCTTTAGATTAGATTGTGCATATATATAGTTTCCTCTATTATCTTGCTTTCTCCTCTCCATTGACCAATTTTGCCGTAAATGGTTTAAATCTCTCTCGTTTTCTATCAACATTAACACTGCAAATTGCAAGAAAGCACTATCGAAAAATTTGAATAAGTTATCAAATAAATAATGTACTTTAATCGAAATAAAAATATTAAGTATTATTATATATATTACAAAATATTAGTCGTTTATATAATCACCATTTTCTACAATTTCTCTCCATCTAGAAACCAGTTCACGATTTCTTTTCTGCAAAAAATTGAATTTATTTTGCATCTTAAATCTTGCATCTTTGGATTTTGAGTATTCTTCGGGAATACTGTTTTTTATATCATCAGAAGAATGAAAGACCAAATTTGATCAGCTCATATTGACTTATGCCTTTTATTCCTCACCACACATATAGTAGCATATCTGGTGTCGGGTTTAGCGGTGCATGCTCGTCGCTGGTAACCAATGGCAAATACGATTAGGATTATGACAGAGTATACAATTTTCTTATCTCCTTTTCTCCTTCTAATCTCCTTTTCTAATCTAAAAGAAAGCGAAGCGCGACCGGTGAAACGTGTGCTCTTCGACAAGTCAACACGAGTTTCTAATGCCAGCATGATTTACCCATGGCTTACCCATGGCTTGTGATACCCGAATGTCATCTGCTTATTATGACCTATTTTTCAGCAGTTTTATCTAATGTTTATCTAATGTTAATTTTGGATCATTTTTGGCAGAGAAGAACGGAAAATCTTCATTGATTTCTGAAGATCTGTGAGATTTTTGGATGTCCTATGAAGTGAAATCACCGTTTTTGAAAAAAAAATATTTTTCAAGCCTGTCCCGAAGCATTCTGGAAAGGATAAACTGCTGAGAGGTCTGAAGAACCTACATTGGACACTGGAAAAAGATTAAACAGATAAAGTATAGCAAAATAGTATTGCAAGATGATCCTTCATGGGTTGTATTATCAATAGATAACTGACACTGAGAAATCCTACCAGTGGTTGGGAAAAGCTGAGACATTGATCATAGCTAGCTTCCCAAGAGCAAGTACTAGGCAGCAGATCCATCGAAACAGAGATCAACCATACCAGACAGGTGCAACTGGGCTCCAGAGATAGACCAACACATAATGACAGGATGTAACGTGCAGACATGAACAGCAACATTGAAAGGTAGTTGATAGGCTAAGACCCTCTCAAGATATTACCATGTGGTAAATTCCGCAGAAAACCGTGGAGAATAGCAAGGCAAAATTTCTATAGGGCTTCTCCATCCAGAAAGACAATCAACCAGATACCGTGGTAGTAAACAAGAAAATCAGCACTGGCAACAGATAGTAACAAAGCAATAGCAAGTGCCAGGAACATTAAGTAGAAAAAATATGAAACTGGCACAGAAATACGAGAGGCTGAAATATAAAAGATGTGGAAGGTGAAGGCCAAAGCAGTCCCAGCAGGAGACGGTCCCAAGCCAGAAAATGGATTCCAGGAATAACATCAAAGATCGAAGTCCGGAAGAGTTCGCACCGGTTTTTTGCTAATTTTAAAACAAACTGTTTCAAAGTACTTTAAATAATCTTTCTTCATACCGGTAATAATTTTGATATTTATACTGAAACTAGCAAAAAAAATCTAAAAGACGAGCGACACTAACTAGCCGACCAACCCATTCCGCGAAATTTTTGCGGACTTAAAACTCGTTCGGCCAGGCCGTGAATTTCAGAACGGAGCTGAGAGAGGAATGCGGCCACACAGTTTGCATGATTTTTTTAAATTGAAAAGTGTTTGGCGCGAAAAATAATTGTGCAGTGATTATATATATTTTTAAAGAGCCCCTGGGCACACCGGTGTCGGCGGGGTTTATAGAGGGGGTTACTCCTACGGGGAGTAAATCCGAACATCGCCGTTCCGAATCGAGCGATTCCACTCTCAGATGATTATATTTTGGTTTATTTTATATTATTTGTACCTTTGGAAAATGAAATGCATCAGCTGATTTTCGTTTTTACCTCACATTAGGGAACACAAACCGATGGATTTAAATAAGGGAACTCGTAAGGTACCAAAGGGGCTCTTTTTCCAATAGCTCGCATTATTATTAGTTTGGATAAACACATTGGTAACCATTGCAAGAGGTAACCACTGCTTTGAAATAGCCGAAATAATGAAAAACTTGTAATTTTCATAATTTTAGATATTAATGAACTCAGATGACTCAGCGGGATGATTACCCCGAGGGTTCCATTACGAAAATTATCTTCAAGAATTTCCTGTAAGCGTTTGTTTTATTTATTTTCATTCAGAATCGTGTGCCATCATAAAAATTTGACAAATCCATGATATTCGTCTATCAGTTGCTTTCATTCTGATTGCTTGTAGTTATGGAAATGCTAATTCTAAAAAGGCCATAACTGTTTGGCACCTTAATGTTTTTTTTTACCGAAATGCGTTCGGCAAAGTCCTTGTAGCAGTTAGAAGTAAGCAATAAATGACGCATTTCTTCGAATTTTCCTTTTCTGATTTGCATTTTCTTTTATTTATTTTACTGCGACAATTAGAATACATTAATTATTTTGTATTTATTAAATTTTAAATCAGATATTTTTTATAGGACTTACGATAAATTATCTTTCGTTCCATGTCCGAATCTCAACGTTATTATTGGTCCAAATGGATCAGGTAATTTCCTTTTCTTAGTCATTTTTTATTTCTTTTTTTATATTTTTTTTCTTCATAAAATTTTTTAAAATTTTCAACTGCTATTTGTATCGCTCATTTTTTCTTTATCATTAATTATTTGCATATATATATTTTTTTCATTATATAATTCAGAAGAACTTTTAATTAGTTTTTAAAGATTTCTTTGCTTTTTTTTAAATTATTATTATTATTATTATTAATGTGGAACTACTTTTTAAATCCTTAAAGTTCTAATTTTAGGCTTAGAAAATGGTGATTATGTATAAGTCGACTAATATTTTGCATATAATGTAATATTTAATATTTTTATTTTCATTAAAATGCATTATTTGTTTAATAACCTATTTAAATTTTTGGATATTGCTTTCTATCGCAATGTAAATAGAAAGCGAGAGAGATTTAAACCATCTATGGCAAAAATAAATCAAAGAAGAGCAGCAACATAATAGAGAAACTATATACTACAGTAAACTATATAGCTATATATTATATATAATTTAAAGCAATTAAAATTTGCCAAGAATTTAAGGAAAAAGCTCGATAATTTGTGGAATATGCCTTGCATTAGGCGGTAATCCAAAGATTTTGGGTCGTTCCGAAAGGATTGCTGATTACATAAAGCATGGTGCAGAGTCAGGCGTCGTTGAGTTGTACATGTATGTTTCTTCCATCAATTTTTTTCTTTATTCAATTTGTTCACCTATTTTTTTGTCTTCATTCCTTCAAAATTTTTTAAAATGTAGAATAACTTTTTTAACTATCTTTTGAGGGCAAAATTTCAAGTTTTTTTCAAGTTCAATTATTTATTAAAATATTACTTTTATTATTTTTAGTTTTTATGAGAAATAAATATTTCCTTAGAATTTTGAAATTGTTTTGATATCTGTTGATTTGATTTTAATTTTAATTTCCATATATGTTTCCATTTATAAGTCGAAATCAAAATATTTATATTTGTATTGTTTCTATGAAGAAATGAACGAACGAATCGGCTTCACTTTTTTGTCGATTTTAATCTATAAGAGCATTAATTGTTTTTCAATAATGTATTTTATCCTTTTTCTTTTTTTAGACGAAGTTCCGGTAATACTGACGAGCGTATAAAAGCTGTTTTGAAAAAACAGAAGGGCATTGTTTTCTATATCGATGATAAACATGTAACGCAAAGCCAGTTAAAATCAGTTGTAAATAGATATAATATTCAGGTTATTTTTGAATTCAGATTTCGCTTTATCTGATTTTCAATTCAATTAATTTATTTATTTGCTTTTGCCCATCTTTGTTCGTAAATATTTAAAGTTTGCTTTAAAGTTTGCAGTATATTCTTTGAATTTTTATGCAAAGTTTAGTTGGGTTTTTCATCGTCTTTTTTTAAATGTTCGTACATTTTTTAGCTTCATTTAAATTTAATTTGTGTGATTTTTCAGGTGGATAATCCATGTAATTTTTTGGCACAGGATAAGGTTCGAAGTTTCGCGGAACAAAATCCTCAAGTGTTATTGGAAAACACCGAAAAGGTATCCTTGTTGGTCTATGAAATTAGCAAAACTAATTTTTAATTTATTTTTCATCTGTATGGACTCACTTTTTCTTTTCTTAATATATTCGCTTTATAAAATATCCTTAAAGGATTTCTATTAATCATCGGATAATGTAATGAAATACGAAGTTTAAAGGCTATATCGGAGGATCTGATAAAGTTACATAATATCGTGAGAGAGGCTAGACACGAAGGAATGATATGGAAAGAGAAACTAAAGAGGTTTTCAACACTTCATTTTCCTATTCTATAAATTTATTTTTGTAGATTTTTAAAATTTATAGATTTTATAAATTCCCCAATATATTTAGCTATTAATATTTATATTTAGCTTATATTAGTATAATTTAAGCTATAATAGAAGAAAAGAACAAATTGAGAAAGAAATCGAAAAATTGCTACCTAGCGTGGAAAATTACAAACGTAAAGAAACAATGTGTGGAAGAATCAAGGTCTTGGAAAAAAAACTTGCATTTATGGTATGTTAACTCCACAACTTTCAATTTCCAAATTGTTCTCCATTATGAAGTGTTATTCATTATTAATGAAAAGAATATTTGCCAATATCGAAAGGTTGACTAATTTTTTCTGTAAAGTATTGATATGTGGAATAAATGGCAGCAATAGGATTTCAGAAATTCGAAATGGAAAGAAACAAATATGCTGAAGAAGTTCGTGCAATAGAACGACTGGAAGATGATTTAAAAATAGTAAGTATTTTTAAACAGGTAAATGAAGAATGATAAATGATATTGTAAATGGTTTGCTAAAATTTCTTTTATTCTGAGATGTGAATTAAATCTTTGAAACTAATAAAAATTCAAATTCTAATTGAGTTATAAATGGCATTTGCAGGCTAGGAATATCGCTGTTCCAATAGAAGAAAATATAAATAGGCTGAAAGACGAGATATCTGAATATATGAAGCGCTTAACTTCTTCTGTATTGTTTTTTGGATATTTATATCGAAATATCGACATTGATAGAAAAAAATATTCTTGATATACTCAGTGTTTAATTTAATTTAACTATAAAGAATTTTCAGAAATCGGAACAAAAATTAGTTCAGCAAGTATTACAGCAGCTATTAGAAATAGGTCAGCTTGGATCCCTTGTATGTTTTTTGCTTTTTTTCTTCCTTCAAATATAATACTTGAAGTTGTATCTTTATCCAGTAATCTTAAACATTATTAAATTATCAATTGGCTACACTCTTTTACTGATGGAAATTGGTTTTATTGGTTTTATCCGAATTTATCAATATTTTTCAAGTCTGAATTTTTTTTTGATTATTCCCGAAAAGCGCTTTCTTAAATATTGAAATAGTTATAGCATTGGCAAGGCTTATTTTTATAAATAAGATTATTTCAGTTAAATCATGCAAAACAAGATTTTGAGCAAGCTAAAGAAGAATATAAGGAACATGAAAGGAAAATAGTTGCTATCCAACAAGAAATTTGTCATCTACAGGAAAAAGCTGATCAGGCGAATCAAGAAATGAAATCATTCCAGGTCTTTTAGTCTTTCATCTATTTTTCATTTTTTTGCATCTCGAATTTAGAATTTTCTTTGTAAGGATAATTGGTAATTGGTTATCATACTGTAGAAAAGAATGCGAAAGGACACTAAGAGCATTCGTTTTTTCATAATTTATCTCACATCATTATTATTAATTTAAATGTTTGCAAAGTTATTCAAATAATTTAAAATAATTATTAAGGATGAATACTCAATGAATAAAAAAAATTATGACGAGTGGACCACAAAGGATGAGGAACTTGATCGGCGTAAAGTTCAGATTGATCGCATTTTTATCGAAATTGAAGAGGAAAAAAAAAGTTTATTAGATTTTTTTCGCATTTTTTAAATTTTTATAACAATTTTATATAGTAGAAGTTCATAATTCTTTAGTAAAAGTTTAGTTATCAAGAATAAATCATCTTGATTTTTTTTTTTTTATTTGACTTATTTACGAGTTTTTATCATCTATTAAGGGTATTGAAATTTTATTTCTGAAAATTTCATTTTAAAACTTTTAAATTTTAGAACTGAATGAGGCAAATCGAGTTGCCCAACTCGCTTTAAACGAAAAACTAACTATCCTTAATAGTAGAAATCCCTCATACTCGCAAGCTTGGGATTGGTATCAGTTAAATAAAGATCGATTCAAGAAACCAGTTTATGTCCCAGTTCTTTCAGTAAGGCTTTCTTATCTTACTTCTTCATTCCAAACATTTCCTAAAGATTTATCTATAATTGTAATATATATCATCAAATATTTCAATTAATCGGTTAATTAGCGAGATTTTAGCTTCATAGAACCGAAGGAAAATTTTGATATATTTTTTCCTATCGTTTTAGATCGAATTGAGTAGTGGTGATGCTGCAAAATACCTAGAAAATGTTATATCACAACGTGATTTCTTCACATTTATTTTCTCATGCAAGGAGGATGAGGATTTATTGGCCAGCTCAAGACAACTGTGGCAAATAAATTCTTGCACAATAACAGAAGAAGAAGTTAGGATTAATTACTTTCATTTTATAAATGCTTTATTTATTTATATATGTCTTGGATTTCCATTTTTTTCAAAGTGATATTATTGTTATTAATATTCTTTATAATAAAAAGATTTTTAAGAATTTCTATTTATAACAATTTATAACAATTGCAAAACCAGACTTCCATTATTGGTTAATCTCAAATTTTTTAATACATTTTTTTGCGATTTGTCGAGTTATATTTTTCAGATTTCGAGACTCACTTCAGAAGATCCATTCCCAACTAATTTAAAGGAATTTGGATTCAGCTGTATGGCTTCTCAATTGTATAATGCTCCATCCATTGTTAAAGCTTATCTGAATGGCGTAGCACGAGTGAGTCAAATGTATCTTAATACAGAATGATATTTGTTCTATTTTTTTTGGCGCGGTGAAATAAATTTTTTCAGCTTTCGAAAATTCCTATCGGCACCGATTTTACGGAGCAAATTTTGGATAAAACATGTGAAGCATTGAAGAAAACATCGTATCATCTTTTTTTGACGCGAAATTCTCGAGTAAATTATTTTTCCAGTATGATAATTATTATTTTTTTGGAATTTTTTTCGGAACTTTTTAATTTTCTCTGTTGGCAAATTGAAGATCTTTTGACGACGATTTACAGCAAATTTTCAGTTCTGAATTTTTTGATTTTTCTTATTTTTATTATTATCTGCATTTAAAAAAGTAAACAGTCTTATTTCGAAAATACTCTTCATAAAAGAGATGAAATAGATGCGATGAATAATTTATTACTTATATTATATTCTTCTTCTAACAGCTCTCACCATTGCTGCTAGGCTGGCTCCGCTATCTACAAGAGTAAGATTCCAAGCTGCCCGGTCATCGCTAGTAAGCCATTCCTTTTTCCATTGTCTAAGTCCATATATCGCTGGTCCCCCTATACGTTCAAAATCTTTATGTTGTATTATATTGCTTGTATTATATTAGCGAGTAAATTAAGGTCAGCTTATTTATATCGAGGTACAACGGTAACTTATCTGTTCGAACTGATGTTTTACGAGCGAAATCAATGTTTCTTATTGCCCATTTTGAACCAAAAGGTAGTCTAAATCTTTCGAAATGTGATATAGAGCAACGGACGAAATATTTAATGGAAAAACAGGAGAAAGTTTGTCCTATTTTATTAAAATTTTTATTAATTATTCAGTTGAAAATTGGAAGTTGGTTAGTTTCTAATTTTATTTTAATTTAATTAGTTTAGTTTCCGATTTTTATTTCTTTACTTTTGAGATCTTGTTCATATGGATTTTTAGGCGATGGAAGAACGCAGTAATTTCGAAACTGAACAACAAAAAGTCGCTGAAGGTCGGGAAATTTGTCGACGTCGTCTGGTTGGTTTTTTTTTAAAAAAATATCGAGCATTTTAATTTCGGGTGCGAATTTACCACGGTTTTTAGTACATTTTAACCTAAGGTACCTAAGGTACACTTTACATAGCCATCAAATAGATGGAATTTCACTTGGCATCAATATTCGCTCGATTATTCTCTATAAAATTTCACACAGTTTCTGCGATAGAAATTTAGCAAAATTTTTTCTGTTTTCTCTGTTATGAACTGAAAAGAAGCGTTTTTATTCATTGCTATAATGGTTTTTTATTTTGCTTTTCTTGTAAATTCTCGCTCAAAAGCATAGAATAGAAAAGAAATTTTAAATTGCGCCACGGTTCGAAATATATAGGATCCATTTATAATTATAATCTAATATAATGTTGATAATATAATAATAATAAATTATAGACAATTATATGAAAATTCATTTACCGACCATTCCTTCGTAAGTCTGCTTTTCGCGCTCTTCCCTACCGAACCATCGTTGGTAAGTTCCCTCGTCGACAATAGTTTTCCTTAGCCAGAAATCAGAGCAACCAATTTATATTCCACTGTGGATTGGCCTAATACTAATCCTTGCTTTTTTTAAATATTGGTATTAACAAGAAAGATTTCACTTTATTTTAGAATGAAATATGCAAAAAGAAGGAAACAAAGGATACTATTCAACATCAATTAAAAAGCAGAGAAACTAGGTAATTTTTAGTGAGTTATTAAAAATATCTAACTAAACAACTTTTATATAAATTTTTTGAGTTTTTCGTTTTTATTCTTATTTTCATTGAAATTGGTTTTAGTTGGTGAAAATAGTTTAAAATGTAAAATTTTTAAATGGTCATTTTTATATGCTTGAAATAAATAAATAAATGGCTTAGTTTTCAGTAGTTTTCAGTTCTTTTTGAATTAAATGATCATTTGTAGATGAACCATTATTATTTAGTATGCCAATATTTTTAAAGTTTGTCCTTTTTTATTTAAAATTTATTTAATTTTTATTAAATTAATTTTTTAATTTTTAACTTTATTTGTTTTTTGATTACATTGGATGGAACACAATAAGCCTGATCTAAAAGAGGCTGAAAGAGCTTTACAGGAAACGAAAGCCAATGCGGTTAGGGAAGCATTTGAAACTTCTGAAAAAATCGCTGCCGAGCTGGTTAGTTATTTCAATTGAATATCTGTCATCTGGCTCATATTTATAAATTAATTAAAAATTCGCAGTTAAACTTTGAAACAAAAGTTTGTTAGGTAACTTTTTAGATTAATTTGAAATATATACGGTCTTCTTCAAGATCGAAAAGGCAATGGTTGGCTACGATTCGAACTGTTCCATAATATTCCATATTAATCTTTCGTAATATTTGAACAATATATTGAAGTAACTTAACCATAGCAGGAAAACCTGTAAAAATTAGCTACCAGTCTATTTATATTTCTATCGCCAAATGGCTGTTGGCTAAAAGTTTCTAACAGCCAGCGGAGCCAGAAAATATGATCGCTTGGTTAATGGCCTTTTAGTTATTTGTATATATTGATTTATCATATTGGTTGCTTTTCATGGTCATGTAGAATTTCTTCACTTTTATATTTTATTTCAGGAAAGGAGCAGGGAAATTTTGCTTTCATCTCTAGCATTGGCTGTTGATTTAGTTGCATTGAAGAACAATGAATTTTCTTTATTGCAAGAAATTCAAAAAGCGCGTGTTGATATAGGCAATAAATCAGTAATATTTTTATTTCACATTCTTTATTTTCGAATTTATTTTTAAAATCTGTTCTATATCGATCAATATTTTTGAATATTTTTTGTTGAAAACAAATTGCAGGCTGAATTAGAAAATCTTCGTTTTAATTTCGAAAATATAATACGTAAGAAGTTCGATGAAAGCCTTCAAAAATTTAAGAATTTAACTGGTCTTAGTTCAACTGTGGAAAATGAATTAAATCATAAAGAAAAACGATTATATAACGAATTGATTAAGGTTTCTTTTGGCAATATTGTTGTCATTTGCAATTTTTTTTATATGCAAAATTTAAGAATTAAAAGAATTTAAAAGCATTAAAAGAATTTTTCGTTTTTTATCGAAATATTCTTAGTTTTAAAATAGTAAGTAAATCTGTATTAATTATTTAAAGTCCGAATTTCATTTTATTTTTTCATTATAATATTTTTATTTGAGTTTTTAAAGGCTTTTCATGAATTCGATCCTTTATTAAGTTCAATAGATGATGTGCAAAATGAATTAATTCGCGAGCAAGGACGAATGGAAGCTTTGCACTTTGATTCGGATAAACAAGTACTGCTTTGTTTCTCTTTTTTTTAATCAAAATTTTTCTAAATTTTATAACATAATTTAGGAAAAAGAAAAAAATTTCGCAGATATGTTTTTTTTTCATGTGATTTCTCGGATATATTGAATTAATTTTTCATTTTGCTAAAGTTACTATCCTTTCCTAGAGCTATGATCGTTATTGCGAACTTATTTCTGAACAAAAAGAACTTGCCAAAACTTTGTCTGTTGCAGAGACTCAAGTTTGTTATCATTATTTCAGTTTTCATCTTCTTTATTGCAATTTTTTTCTGTATAAATTATTTGAATGTTATTTTTTGTTAATGAAGGTTCTTGAAGAATTGTTTTCTGTGCTTACTTGTAATACATATAGATTTCACATTACTTATAGGATTAAAATATCTTTTTTTTAAATGTTATTATAAATGTTATAATGATAAATATTAAGTAAAATATTTTTTCCATTTTTATCGATTTTTTTGGCTAAATTTCGATTATTAATTAATAAAATTAGCTAAACCACATTACCCTCCATGAGAGAAACGATTTTCCTCTTCTTATTAACAAAATGTTTATAGGTCAACAGTCTAGATAATCAGCTGGATAATTCCTTAAATGATTGGCTTCTTCCATTGGAATCTATCACTGAAAAAATTGATGCGTGTTACAGTTGCCTTTTTGAGAAACTTGGTTGCGAAGGACGCGTTCATTTACAGAAACCGGAAGATAAGGTTATGCATTTATTGCCTGGATATTTTGAAATTTTTTCAGGCAATCTTCAAATTTTTGAATTTTCGAATTAAAATGGGTACATATAGTTTATATTGATTTAAACAATGTAAGGATCTGGGTTTTTTTCTCTTAGAAATATGCTTTATTTAATAAAATGGAATTCATATTTTTAGTATGATATTGATAGCTATGGTGTGATCATATCAGCAAAATTCCGAAAAAATGAACACCTTCGTCAACTAACACACCAAGTAAAATTTTATTAATTTATAAAAAAATTTTCTTTTACTCGGTGTTTTTATCATTTTGTTTTATTATACTTATTATAATTATTATAGGTGCAATCTGGTGGAGAACGCAGCGTATCGACAATGCTTTATCTTATGTCGTTACAACAAATGAGTGTAGTTCCCTTTAGATGTGTTGATGAAATAAATCAAGGTATTTGATTCCCTTATTTCTTTATTATTTTTTTCTTTTTTTGTGCTTAAATTTCCATGCTCGGTTTTACGGTTTCAATAGTTTTGTTTTTTTTTTCGACAATTTTGTGAAATATTATATTGCGGAAAAAACGATGGAATAAAATGAAAAGCAAATAATTTTTTATTCGAAAATTGCTATTATATTGTATTATAATATAATACAATAATATAATATAATATAATATATTATATATTAAATGGAAAAATTTTTTCAATCTTCTTTTAAATCTTTTATCAGGAATGGATCCAGCTAACGAGCGACGAGTTTTTGATATGATTGTTAATTTATTGTCAAATGAAGAAAATCTTGCAAAAACACAATATTTTTTGTAATCTTTTCAAATATTTTTTTTAACTCGTGAGATCTTTTTTAATTGGCTGCAGCCTTCATGGAGAATTGATTTTTCAGATTAACCCCAAAATTACTATCTGGGCTTACTTATAGCGAAAAAACCACAGTGCACTGTATATTGAATAGCAAGGACCTCTTAATATCGCAGGTATTCGCTAATTTCATAGTTTTTAATATTTATTTTTATTTGCAGGATCATTAGATGCATGTGATACATCATGGTTTTTTATCATTTCGCATTATCTACATAAAGCATTTGTGTAATCTGTGAATACATTACAGTTTATTGACATCGACAAAAGCTAATTCTAATTCTACAAATCTAATTTTTTATTCTTTCAATAATTGTTTTTTTCCACGATGAAATTTGGATTTTTAGGATTTTTCAATGGAAAAATGCTTATCGATAGCGCAGAATCGTATTAGTTTGGATTAATTCATCGTTCTCTTCATTCTCACTTTTTTTCTGTACAGAATGGGTTTATACGTTTATACGTTGAAATTAGAACCGAACCGAATTTTGCTGTTTTTTTTTGCTTTACTACTATTTACTTTGGTGGTGTTTCTAAATTATTTATTAATAGTATTATATATTGTATGTAATATAATATATTGTTTTATAAATATTTGAAATCTTCAGATGAAATTCTTAATTTTTGTTCGCTTTTGAATGCATAAACAAAATTCTGCTTTAAGTATAAATCATTCATATAATATTTGTAAATAGTTTATAAATCATATTACTGAATTATTAGTATGGGTTTTAATTTAATTGTTTGAGTTAAATTTGATCTGTTCGAAATGAATATAGGAATATAGGTAAATCAGAAATTTTTGCCAAATCTTAGTAAATAAAAGGCTAACTGTTGGAAAAGAATTAAATTTTCAAAGTGCTTAAGATGAAAAATCCGATGGTTTTTGCTTTAATTAAGATAGGTTAGCCAATTTTAGATAAATTAGCAGCAATTTTTGGAATCCTTTCTGTTTAAATTTTAAAGAGATATATATATTTCTGTTTATATTTTGGTTTATATTCTTCAATTTAGTACAAGTTTTGATCACAGTTTTGGATTTTCTTGTTGGCTAAGACTAATTCGTTTGTCGATTCATTACTTGCAGCTATAAGTTGAATGCTGAACGCTTCTGAAATCCTGGAAATCAAATTTTAGACTGGTTTTGGTCGGAATTGATAGTTGAAAATCGATCGATGGTTACTTATAAGAGTCCAAAATCATTTTCTTAATAATTCTGAATTGTACGGCATAATAATAGCTTCAGTTTTTTTAGTAGATGAGTATTTTCCGTTAGCGCTTGCCATCTGATTTGGCCATTTATTAGGATGAGAGAGGATGGAAGTGCAATCGCGTTTAGCACCAGATTTTACTTTTTATGCCGAATTTAATTCCTTAAAGGTGCAGGAATCGAACCTATGATGATTTGAGCGTAGTTATAAAAGTAACCTATCACTTCCATACGCAACCAATAATTCATGAAGAAATTTTTTAGAAATTCATCGGATAGATTTTTTTTCTTCAAATTTTTTTTTCAAATTTATTAAATATTACAATCCTTCAATAACACACCAACGTAGATTTTCGAAATTAATGAAATTAATTTTATCTTTAAAAAATGACCAAAAAAGATTTCGCAGCATGAAAATATTTCTTTGACACATGCATAACTATTTCAAATATATCAATTTACATGGTGTTGGACAATTGGCTTTGAATTTCGAGTTTCATATTTCTCTCTCGGACTTTTCATTGAATCTGAAATTTTTTTTTTTATTTTTTTTATCAATATATCAATATTTATCAATAAGATATATTAATTCTTTTCTTTTCACGCAGTTCATTTATTTCACATATTAAGAAATTTTTTGATTATTTTTATTGTTTTAAAATTGCTAAGCACTTACGAGAGATTTTTCAGCGATTTCCCACTGAAATATCTCTGGATAACGAGTCACATCGATTTCATTGCGCTTCAAAGGTCGGCCTGGTCGCAGACTATTTCCTGTTTATCAATTAAAATTTTATAGGAACATGTGAGAATAAAATTATGATTGGATATATGAAAATGTCAAAAATTGTAAATTAAGTTGGTTCCACAGTCAATGCTACTAATGAGTGGTCTCTCAATCGGACAGATTGTGAGGATTAATTTTATTCAATTCAATTTAATTTACATTATTTTCAAATATCTTTGAAAAAGTGAGAGATCAAAAATTAAATTCTTTACTTATCATCAGCGATCTCTTTAGAGGTTTTCCAGGCCTCCACTTATTATTGAATGTATAAACATATGGATGGGACAGTTCCATGTAAATTGCTGCAATCATCAAGGTTAATAGGAAAGATGTTGACGTGAGTCGCAACAAAGAAGCCATTTTGAAATTTTTCCTCTAAAAATTTTTCATATAATTTCATGGAAACATAAATTATCAAATTTGAGAGAAAAGTGTCCTAGAAGTTTTTATCAAAATCATTTCGCAGTAGTTACATAAAAAACGAAAACAATACGTATAAATTTCCAAAACAATTGTGAATTCTTAAGAACAATCGGAAAAAAAATTTCATCAAAATTTTGTCTCTTACAACAAATTAAATGGCAAAACAATAATTTGATCGAGTAAGTTTTATAGATTAAAAAATTTCGTGGTGATATCTTTATTACTTCTTATCATATTATCATATATCATTGGATCTCAATGAAACACGCTATTTCCACAAAAACATAAATTCCATTGAAAATGTAAACAAGGTGAACGTGATCCAATATGTAATGTGGCCAATTTATCCATTAATCAGTGTCGGGAAATAGGATATGTTAGGATAGGTTTTCTTTTTGCTAATCGTCCAAATCTGGCAAATCCAAAAAAACAGAAATAATCTAAAATTATCCTTTAAGAACTTTGCGAAGAAATGAACGACAATTCCAAGTATTACGTTTCGGCTTAAATCACAATGTCACTAGAAATAATGGCTTGAAGGTGTTTTTTGACCGATTTATAGGCCAAATGCTTTGAACCACTTTGCACTTTCATCAATTTTACTTCATAATAATCATTTTTCTTCATTTTCCCAAAAATATAATTTGTGTTCTTGAAAATAATAAAAAAGAAAGGGAGGCTCGTTGTTCGAAGACTTCTAAGATTACCATCACGAAATTCCATTCCATCGTTCTGTCACTCAGTTCTTCATTTAAAATTCAATTTGCTTCCTTTGTGAAAATTATCATAAAAATTTCTTTCGCAATACAAGTTTTTATGGATGTAAACGAAATAAATGTAGGAAAATTCGTAAGAAACGGCAAATACTTTTTAAAATTTTTGCCATAATTTTACCATTTAATTTATTTTTTCAGTTACTTTTAAATCGTTAAGTAATAAAATGAAATTTCCTTACTGATAGTAAATTAATTATTATTTTTATGTGAATTAAGCAATAGGTGGACCAGCAATATATGCACTTAGACGATGGAAAAAGGAATAGCTTCAGTTACTGTCGACGATGGCATCAGACCGCGCCGCTTGGAAGTGTCTTACCCTTGTAGCCAGCCTAACCAGTAATGGTGAGAGCTGTTAGAAGAGAAAGGTGATGATGAAATAAGCAATAAATAATGCGCTAAATTTTAGAATAAATACGCATTTGATTTTTTATTTTGGTCGAATTTTTTTTAAATTTTAGTAATTAAATAATATTTATTTTAAAATATGAACTTTTATATCGATAGGTGTAAAAAAAAAAGTCATTAAGATTAGAATGTTTCAGAATTTTTGGTCGAGAAATATGACAAAAATTTAATGATTTAATGATTTTTGAATTTTTAAATTAGTGAAATTTTTGAAGAGTATTTGATTTCTGATTATTTAAATAAGTTATTTTAAAATAATACTGAATTAATTGCAATATTACGCAAGCAAAATTCGCAACAATGCCTTTGCTTGGCCAATAAAACGAATTCGCCAAGTGCCAGAATAATCAGCAAATAATTAAAATAATCAAATAATCAGCAAATTAAAAGAGTTGTGAAAGAAGATTATTCTGATTAGATTTTAGCTGATTAAAATTTAAAAAAAAAACTATTTTACCGCATTATTAGGTCGCTATTTGTTGCAGTAAATTGTTGCAGTTATTTTCGTATAATCAATGATCGTTTTAAATTTATGATGAAAAATTGATGATGAATTAGGAAAGGGAAACCACTACGATCAGCAAACTCGATGGACATCAAAAAAATAACATAAAAAAGATAATTTCACATTAATTCACAATGCAACAATAATTTTTCTAAAATTTACCACTCTTCTTGTTCAACTAAAATAAATACATTCACGTTGATTGGAAGATATTCGAGAATATCAGAAGTTGAAGGGTTCTACCCATATATCCTTTTTCATGGACAAATTTCGGGAGAATTCCATTAAAAATGGCACCTGGCTAGTCCGCTTCGGACCACTCTCTATCGAATGTGTCGAATAATGACGAGTAAATTTTTATATTAGATATTTAATTGCCTTATAAATTTCAGCGTTTTTTTGCATTTATTGCTTAAAAAACATATAAAAATGGAAGATTTATAGTCAAATAAAGAAAAAATCGTAATTAAAACGATTTTTCAAACAAAAAATAATAAAACGAGGATAGGACGAAAATGAGGATTGAGCCAATTCAAATCTTTTAAAGGAACGTAATTAAATTTTTAGACTCCATGAACGAATTTCATCAACTGCAAGTTTTAAATATGGTGCCTAAAGGGTTTTTTAAAACTCTAATTTTTATTGAAATCAATATTTGCCAACGAATACGCAATAATCTTTAATTGATAAGAAAATGAGGCTAGGGCAATGAAACGGAATGATAAATGATAAAAATTGAGATATAAATTTTCCTTTGTTCAAAGCAGATATCACTTATTCAACAACACTGCAGCGTCTCTGGTGTGGCTGGCTTCTAGAAAAAAATTCTTTCACCTGAGATTCGCTGACACCTAGCCATTTTCTTCGACAATTTTCACCACTCTTGGTCTGCTTGACTTCGCTAAATGACCTCATTCAATGAGAATCTTGTGTGACAGAAGTAAAATAGACTTCGCAATGATCGCAACAAGTCGTGACACTAATCCTTCAGTTCAGATTGCACTTTTACAGGATTATCTGTATATTTGTTTAAGGCTTTAGCACTAAATAAAACCTTTAAACAGAATTTCTACAGAGAATGAAATAAATCTTGTTGCCAACTTGGTTCGTTGTAATCAAATTTATTAAATCTGAAAAATCGATAAAAATTGGAACCAAATTTGCGCATTTAGATTATCTAATTAATCGTTATCAAGCAGTGTTATAGTCAATAACATTCATTTGGATACCCCTTGGGAAGGTAATTGCATTGGTCATTTATGAACAACAACATTTGCAAAGTTATATCTAATTCCATTACATATAACATTAAGACAGTTGCAAAGTTTTTATACATATAAGAGGATCGTGGAAAATGGAAAACGACTCAGTGGCTTCATGCTAGGCGAACCTTGATTGTGGTAAATGTTATGATAAAATTCCGGCTTAAATTCTAATTTTATACAAAGCAATTGATTATGACTTTTTATTATCGGGCAAATCCTGAAATCTGCATGAATAAACTAAGAAATTATAGATCTGTTAATTTTGCATATGAGAGATATACTAGTTATTGCTCTGACCAAGGCGAAGTCTGAAACCAAGCGAGTCGTATTCAAGCACTTAACGATGGTAAGCTTGTTGTCAAAAGTGAAATTCAGCTGTTACTGTGGACCTATTTTATTCGGCTCTATGATAAGTTTCTCTCCAGTAATCAGCTAAATTAGAAATGATAAGTGCTATTAAGAGGATTTTTTGCAAATAATAACTGCCTTCATGGCAATGTTCAATCAGAAAAGCCTTTAATTCAAGTTGAATTTCATGATTTTTAAATTTTAAATATATATGCCGAATTCAAAAAACGTTGAAATGTTTGAAATATAATCGAATTTTGGCATTTTATAAATAATGAATTATCTAATTGCTATGCAATGAACCGTTATGAATTGCTTAAATTCTAATCGGCTTCCAGCTATTTGAAAAAATCGTATCAAGAAATCCGTTGTTCAGTCGCGAAAAATTCGCGATTCTTTCTAAAATGGTTAATTGGCCAATCGGTACCAAATTATTTAGCACCACAATTCATAAGTTCATATTTTCACAGTAAACCAAAAAATTGAGGAAACCAAATATAGCGAAATATTAGCAATAAAATAAAATGATTGATGATGAAGCTCTTTAATTAAAAATTAATTATATTAAAATTGAAAATTACTAAAGCAATTCAAAAATAGAATGTATGAGATAAATTTATGCATTGAAAATGAGTTTTTTATATTCAAAAAAAAAGGGGAATTACGAACGTTTGTATTTGAATAATAGGAAATGATCGAATAGTAAGGAATAATTAATAATTCATTTTATTTCCCTTGCTCATGCCCATCTATTACTTATTGCAGTTGGCAAATATGGTAAAATCGCCTATATCTTTTGTTATGTGAAATAACAGAAGCTTTATTGCTTTGTCGAAAATGGTTCGAGAGATTTTAGCAAATCTAACAAAAAACGTTTTTCTTTTTGCCTTATAACAGTACTTGCCAATTCTCTTTTGACTGTGCCAGTTAATCAAACTTGGTTTGAAAGCGACCGCGTGGAAGAAGTATGGCTATAGCTGCTTTCCCAGTATCACTTTCGTTTTAATGACAAAATTAATCGGGTCAAAAAATGGGAATCTTGATGCGTGATTTTCGGTTAGATCTTCGAAGGTCATAAGAAATTAAACACTTTTTCCATTAATAACTAAAATTAAAAGTTGATAATAGCAAAGGTGATATTAGCTCGAATCAGCTGATAAAATTCAACTGTATACGAATCCTCGAAACAACAAAGAATAATAATAGAAACACTGAAAATTGTCGATTTTTTGAACATTTAAGGTACATTGAACATTTGGATTTAGAAGAGAAAAAAAAGCTATCTCAAATATAACTCCGCATCGAAAGGCTTTGTTTTTGTCGTGTGGAACTAGCCTAAATGATAATTCTAGGTTCTGCCATTTGAAAAAATAGAAGTAATATAATATATTTAAACTTCCGAAGCATGAAAAGTCGTACTGTAATATTATTCATTAATGATCAAATGATTAACGACTTATTGAAAAAAAAATGGCAGTAAATTAAACGCATAGAAAAGATTTGGTAAATTTTTTATTCATCTTTAAAATCATATTATTATTATTTGTTTCTTGCAGAAATAATTGTTAATATTTATTGATATTGATAAAATCTTCTGCAAATCTTTATTCTCTTTTAGCTTCTTTCCATGAATAAATTATATTTTATAAAGGTTGAACGCAAAATTTGTTATAGAAAATCAAAAGCCATATCAAATATTTTATTCAATGCATTAAAAAATTTAGTGATATGATAGGAAGAATTTATCAACAAAAAATCAATGGCTTTTTGGATGGCTATGATGAGCAATATTTAATATATTTATATTTTTCTATTATAAAATCAGTGATTACATTGATAAGAAAGAATATCGCATTGAACCCACATATTTGCTCGTGCAGAATTGAACATTGAAATACAAACACGGCTCGAATATTATATTAATTTATATTATTTATATATTATTTTAATCTTACCATTGCTGAAATTGCCAAATATTTACTTATACTCAGCTTTTTCGCTTTGCCATCATTCATGCAAATTTCAATAACAATGTCGACGTTTTCAGTTAATTAACGGGTTTAATGTTGTTACGTTTATTATTGTTATTCCTAAACTTCATTTTCTTCGTGAATTTTTCCAAATTTTTATAAAAAATGAAAAAATAAACGAAAAATAAACGAAAATAAAACGATAATCTTCTAGCAAATTAATTTGTTAATTTGACTTGCAAATTTTTAATACTTTTTTGCAAATTTAATATTTTTAATATTTTGTTAATAATTATAGTTAATTATAGTAAAAATCTCATCGCAATCACAATGAAAAGTAGGGAGAAAAAAATTTTATAGTCGAATAAATTATATAAGAAACTTTACCAAAACTTCAGAAAATTCTATAATCGCAATAGCTGCACTTGCAAGTATTTAAAAAATATAGCTCGAAGGAGTCCTAAGGGGGCCAAAAGAAGTTAGATGGAGAGGAGAAAACGAAAAGCATGGAATAAGTTTGGAGGCGAAAAATGCACGATTTATGAATCTGTAAAGGTTCACTATCACCGTTAATAAATTTCAAATCCCTACAATGCAATGAAAATGAAAGAATTTTTGCCAAATTCAGGAATAAATGGATAAGTGGATTTAATTTTAGGACCTTATGAACTATCCAAATTTTTTCGAAACTTTTTGATCACTGTGATATTTTATTATAAATCGACAAAGCCAAGAGAATCGGTTTTCACTAAATTAGTTTCTAAAAATATTTTGGCAGCGGATGATACTTCGCCATTGATAATCATCCCTGGTACATCGTCACTGACTCCAAGTAATAGTGGATCAGCCAAATCAGCGTTAGCTCGAACAATAGGATTTTTGAGAGACTGGATATACATATATATATAAACGAACAAAGGGAATTTAGCCATAAGTAAGAAAAGCCTTAATCTTTGAAATACATTTATCGTTCCATAAAGAATTTAAAAGAATTAGGTAATTTCGATTAATTTTTTCCTCATATTTTATTTGGTTATTTTATTATTATTATTATTATTATTGTTATTATTATTATTATTAATTATTATTATTATTATTATTATTATTATTATTATTATTATTATATTATTATTATTATTAATTATTATTATTATATTATTATTAATTATTATTATTATTATTATTATTGTCGAAAATCAATAGCTGAAATTGAACGAATAAGAACGAATTTTTATTCATATTTTTTATATTTTCATTCATATTTTTATTAATAATAATGATGTTGCCTAATTGAAAAACTTTTTTTTTTTAAAGATTTGTAATGCTGCGGCAAAATAATTTGTTTTGGATAGCTGCGGCTATTTCAAATATTCTTTTCATGTACTGGACGATTCTAATTTACAAATACCATTTATCTTTTGAGACAAAGCAGCTGGGAAATGAAACAGTTTGGAAAGCAAAAAGTCCGTTTAAACCTTTCAATACAATTTTCTTGCAATGTCTTAAAATAGAAATTTTGAAACAATTTTTCCAATCTCTTTATTTCATTCCTCAAGAAAATAGAGGAAAATAAAATAAGGGAGGAGGATTATGGTTCAAATAAAAAGATGAGTTGGAAAACCTCACTAATGGATTGAGAAGAAGAAGAGCGAGGTTCGGCGACATAGTAAAGGTAATAAAGAGTTATGAAGGCGATAAAAAGGTGTTTAATAGATTTTAGGAGAATTTTAACAAGAAGATAGATTCGAAGACCTTATAATTTTCCAACTCAGATTTCTGGCCTTGGCGCTCTGAACTTTTGCTTATTTCCGTATTTGGCAATTATTTCATCATTTTACCAATTTTTATTATTTTTTTTATCATTATTTTTAATTAATTTTTTAATTTTAGAAACAATTTTTTTAGAAAACTTGCATAAAAATAAAATAATTACAAGGAACGAAAATCTGCCATTTTGTGCGGAAAACTCAAGTGTTTTCAAAGGGCTTATCGGAATACAAAAAGTTTCACCAGATATGAAGGTTATGGAAAAAGTTTTCTCAATGTTGGCGCCCGGTGGACACGGTGAGCCTAGAAATTGCCGTGCTCGACATCGAATTGCTATAATAGTTCCTTATAGGTCAATCTCCAATTTTTTAGAATGGGTAAAAGTGGGGTCAAAATTGATTTTGCTTCCAACTTTATTTCTTCTATCAATTAATAAAGAATTACCCATTTGAGAAAAGTGGTAGCGAATAATAAATTTGGAGCATAAAATAATGCAAGTCGAAATATTAGGAAATATTAGGTGCTTTTCGAATTAAGTGATACCGAAGGTCTCAAAGTTGCTTCAAATTTTTCTGAATTATAGGAATTGTGAATTTTGAATTGTAGGAATCGTCCTCTGCATCGCAGATTATTTCTTTACAATATGCATCAATGGTTACCGAAACAAATGCTCGATTATATGGTGATTATTATCAGCCAACTTGGTAAGGAAAAGTTCAATCGTGGTGCTTTAATGAATATTGGATTCGTCGAAGCTCAAAAGCTCTATGATTGGGAATGCTTCATATTCCATGATATTGATTTACTACCTGAAAATGATCGAATTCCATATAGATGTTTAGATCAACCTGTTCATTTGTCTGCTGCCATAAGCAAATACAACTATAGGTATAGCCCTGTCCTTCTTAAGCTGTTTTGATTCTTCTATTAAGAATACACTTGTAAAATTCATAAAAAAGATGAGGTGAGGCTCATTATATTGAATTCTTTGTGGAACTTGAGAGGAACTTTCATATTTTTCTTAAAATTTTCAGCATACCATATAAAAACAATTTCGGAGGAATATGTGCTTTTACAAAGGAACAATTCCTGAGAATGAATGGTTTTTCGAATGATTATTGGGGATGGGGAGGCGAAGATGATGATGCACACAATAGGTGAACTTTTTTTTCAAATCACTTGATTTTCCAAGCAAATAAGCTAAATTCTCTCTCGCTGAAAATTTCTATGGTACTTCCTTAGAATTTAATTGAAATTAAATTCCTCGAATTTTCCTAGAATTTTCAGAAATTCAAATTTTACAATGCTATTTCGACAACGCTAATATTCATGTACATAATGCATTTTTGAAATTTTTAAAAAAGTTCTAAGATTTTTAAAATTTCTTGCTATTTTTTCATTTTCAATCGCAACTATGATGATAATTTAATAAATTATAATTTAATTTAATAAATTAATTTAATACAAATAAATTTAATAAATTAGTTTTTTATCTATAAGTTTTCACCTTTGTCACTTATAATTTTTGAAAAAAAGTTTGATTACATTGAGATGATTGCAGGGTGCTACTGGCTGGTTATAGTATATCGCGGTATCCAAAAAGCCTAGCACGTTATACAATGTTGCCTCATGCAAACCAAGCAGGAACCAGCAATGCAAGCAAGTTCAGTCTTATTGAATCCTAAGTTATTCCAACTAAATTTGCTTTGCTTAATCTAAACAATTACAAATTTGTATTTAGTTGCTATACTCCTTCAATCAATGAGACATTATCCAAATGGAAAAAAAGCGGTTTATCATCTCTGAACTATCATTTAGACAGTATAAAATTTTTGCCGCTTTATTTAAGTATTCAAGTTACTCTCATGGATAAAGGACAGGAAAGGCTATTACAAAACAGTTCTGATTGCTAGGTTTGCCATTCTTCGTTTTTATTATTCCAAACTTTTTTAGATTAAAATATTTGAAGTGTATATTTTTTCAGGGAAATGAGGAAGCAACGAGTAAATAAGGAAGCAAAGATTAACAAGAAGATTACCATACTATTGAGTTTTTAAGGACAATTTTCTAAAGCTTTTTACTTATAACGAGTACTTCACTAATAGAATATACGAGATTTGAAAAAATTTTTTCAGCTTGGATGTGAAAAATTGTATTTATTAAAAATTAAAAATTAATTAAAAAATTTTTTTTAATTCCACTAATTTCTCAATGGAATTGAACATCTCCTTTAACTATGGATGTAAGCAAAAAAATATATATACACTTATAGTATATACACAATTATATATAAACTATATGTACATATGTATATCAGAAAAGTACACTTGCGCCAGATTTATCGGAAATTACAATTTACGACAATAATTATTTAGCAGATTCGAAATAAACAGCGATTGTGGTTAAGAAGAGTGGTTAATTAATAATTCCAAAAAAGCATAACTGATTCTGGGAGCTCTACATTGCCCATATTTCGGTTGGGCTTACAATAGCATGGAGATCGATAAAAAATAGCATACAAAATTAGTTTTTATCCAAAAGGAAATCTTTCTCATAGTTGTTTCTTTGATATAGATAGATCGTTTTACAAATTAGCTAACAGATGTGTGAATTAAAAAGAGAAGAAAGATAATTTTGTACGATTCGTATATAGTAGCTAATTTTAAATGGTTCTTTTTCTTGGAATTGAGAAAAACGAAGAATATACTTAGGAACTAGCAAGATTAATGATCTTATTCTTCATTATATCTCTCCCTTCGTTCGGTCTCTTCTTGACTACACTACTACTTTTCATCCTTCGAGATATCGCAAATCAAGTAAAATAGTTGGAGTCCAAATATATTTTATGCGACGCCTCTCTCCTAATAGCGATTTTAATTATAATTATAAAATAAAAATTCTACAGTACAACCTAGATTCTCTCTCAATTCGTCGTATTAAACAAGATTTAATTTATACTTATAAGATTTTGTATGGTTATGTCAAACTAGATTGTTCAAAATATTATAATTTTAAGTTAAATTTAAATCCAACAAGAACTAATGGGCTAAAATTACTAAAACATTGTGCAAAACTAAACTAAAGACTTCTTTACTATTAATTACTGGAATAAGTTACCGAACGATATAGCTTGTACGTCATCTTTAGCTATCTTTAAAAAAAGATTAGATAATATCATTTATAATATTATTTAAAAACTTCAGGTCATACAGGAAGTGTGGAATCTCGATTTTTTACCATCTGATTATATATAATACTTTTATTTCGAATTGCATATTATTTTGTATTTTCTTCTTTATTTCCTCTTTAAATTGTTAATTTTTGTCATATTTTATTTTTTTATCATTAATAATTATTTTATCTGTTGCTATTAATACAAACCTTGGTTATTTTCAATATCTCAATAAATAAATAACTCTCCCTTCATTTTTCTTTCCTATTTTGTTTATAAAATCTATGAAACCTAATTTGCTACCTATAAAGTTCATTGCCTTTATGGCAATCAGTAGTAATTTTCAGTAGTAATCAGTAATTTTTCCATATTGTCCATCAACTATTTGTTACTAGAATTTGTTAGAATTAGAGTTGGCAATATTATGCAAAATGTTTATTTTCTTTAGCTTCTTTCCATGAATAAATTATATTTTATAATTATTTTATTTTACAAAATTTATTATCAAAATCAAAAGCCATATCAAATATTTTATTCAATGCATTAAAAAATTTAGTGATATGATAGAATGAATTTATCAACAAAAAAATCAATGGCTTTTTAATGGCTATAACGAGCAATATTTAATAAATTTGCATTTAAAATCAGTGATTACGTTAATAAGAAAGTATATCGTATTGAATCCACATATTCGCTCATGCAAAACTTTTTTGCTTGTAAACTCGCCCGAATACTGACGAGTTATTTAGGAATTGGCGAGCTGCCTTATAAAATTTACATCATATGATGAATTTTCTTCATATCTTGCGTAGTTTTAGTTTTTCGAACCTTTTTTTTTATTTTAAATCAGAAAGATTTTTAGATTTTTCAAAATCATAATTCGTTCCTTTCAGCAATTTAATCACACAAATTTTATTTCATTATTTCGATTTTTCTTGTCGAAATTTTTCAGAAAATAAATTTAATTGAATAAATCGAAATGAAATGGGAATTTTATTATGAAAATTAAAATTTTCCAGATTAAATAATTCGTCTTTTATTTCAATGTAAAATGGATGACAAAAATAATTATTCATAATCGAATATTCAATTTATTATTAGACATTTCCAGGAAAATTTATAATAAAAATTATTTTTGCGAAATTTTGCTTAAAATATCGAAATAAATACTCAGATTCATTATTTTATCTCAAAATTTCAATGTGAATACGTGAAAATTACAAAACTCGCTGGAATTATTTCTATAAATTGATTTTGAAAAAGAATAAATCGCGCAAATTTTGCTTGTTGCCCATTTTTCGTAGTGGCTACAATAATCGTGTCAGGTCGAATAGCAAGGAGAAGAAGAAGGTTGGAGAAGATATTTGGTACCATTTTCTACTCGATATTTTAACTTTTGTTATTTGCTGTAAAGAAATTCATAAAAGGGTCAAATAATAAGAATGCTTTTTAATACAGTTCAATCCGATCGTACTGTTCACCATACCAGTGATAATTTCAGTTTCCATTCGATATTTTTTATAAATTTTATTGTTCTGAAGTTTTCCGCGGTACATTCAGTCCCGGATGCAATACCAAAGATATTTAGTGGCCAACACTTATAATTTCTGCTTTGATTGGTTTCACTGACGATAAAGTGAGAATCTCTCATCTTATAGGAATAGGAATAGAAATGCAAGTGCTACTCCAGAATCACCTGGATTTTTTTGAAAGACGAATTCGCTCATGTCGAGGTTAGAAGCCAAAGCATGGTGATGTACCATCCTTTGCTATATTGCCCAAATATTATTTTATCTTATAGTATAGCTTTATTAACTAAATCTTTATGGAAAATAGTGATTGCATCAATTAATGCATATTTTATTAATTTAAAAAATCAAAAAGATATCTCAAAAATATATTCATTAGATTTTGTTCCCATTTGCAGCATTGATGTTGGGGTTTTATTTTCGGTAAGAGTAAATTTTAAAAATCTAAGTGGTGCTGGCGCCCACTTACCTGAATTTTTATGCTTGGAGAATCCTTTTTCTGCCAGACGAGGCAGCTGAGATTGAAATGGTGAAAAGTAAGTAAGAATAAATCTTCGTAGTCCTAGTTCGTAGTTAATTAGTATCCCATCTAAATAATGGATTTATCTAAAAAATTAGATATGAAGGACGAAATCGATTATGAGATGAATTGACCAATGTTCCCACCGGTTATTCTTTTAATGGTCTGCTGCATATTTTTTGGCAACAATATTTTTTAAATCTTCAATAATAATCAATTCTAAATGCGAAAGAAAAATTATTTTTCAAAGTGCCAAAAAAACAAATATCTGTGGATTTGTCAAATCTTTTTCTAACAGCTCTCACCATTACTGGTTAAGCTAGCTTCAGTGGCTAAAAGGGTAAGACGCTTCTAAACGGCGTAGTCTGAGGTCATCGTCAACAATAATAGAAGCCATTCCTTTTTCCATCGTCTATGTCCATATATTGCTGGTCCACTACAATAGCGCCAATTGACAAAAATTATGCCAAATTCGATGCAAATCCAACTTTTCGTGCCACGAAATCTAAATTTTCATTCTTAACCTTAAATGAAATATATTTGAATTAATTTCATAAAAATTGAAAAATTGAATTTAAACGGTAGCCGAAGAAATAATCGTTAGCAAACGTAAATAATTCCCACCCACCAATCCTTTTTGATTTTCAGTTATTAAGAGAGTATTATGAGAAATTTTTAAGAAAGATTAGTTTGCTAGGATAATATTAAAAATTTCATAAGTTTTGCTTTTAAAAATTTTTGTTGTCAAAAGGAATTCGGCTTCGTAATTCGGATTTCAACAGTCTTAATTGCTTATTCGCATGAAATATGATTTCGAGAGAAGTGGCAATTTTTAAAGAATACTCAAAATACATTTGGATAAATATTGTATAAATAATATAGGATAAATGTAAGATAGTTATTTAATAACAATTTAATGATATTTTAAAATTTTCGCTCTTTTTCGCTCTTTCGTCGATTTTTCGCTATTTTGTCGATTTGCCATCTTTTAAAATATTTCGCACGTTTCTTACTGCGCTCATAATTTTTTTGAAAAGTTTTCAAAATTACTTTATTTAACACTTTATTTAGACTTATTTTATATAAAAATATTTTATTTAAAATGAATTTTGTATAAAAAAACCTTAGTATAAACCTTTAATTGATTTAGTATAACTTTGGTATAATTATACATTTATTCGTCTCGAATTTTTATTTCATTTTTTTCTATAAATATCACAAAGGAGAAACGAATTTTACCTAAACTAATTTTACCTAATGGAACTAATTTTACCTAATGGTACTTCGCCTATTTAAAAAGTGCAAATTTTTTATTTTTTGAAAGTTGTACTATTAATTAAATTATACATTATTATTGTATCATTATTTTGTATTATTAATTAAACAATAAGAAATTTGTGCAGAAGAAAATTTATGGAGAAATTGCCTGCTCGAATTCACAGATCTGCAGCTATTTGTTTCGAGAGCTACCATAAATATTGTAAATTAAAAATCTATTTCTTTAATCACTAAGAATAAATCAATAAATATTATATTTTTATAATAAAGCTAATGCGATGAATGCTCTGTTATACATTTTTAAAAATATTTTTACAAATATTTACAAATATTGGTGTATGGCTTAAGGGAAGAAATCAAAGGTCCTTAGGGCTCCTTAGGAGATCCCAATTTAAGATTCTGTGCAAACATTTG